CAGTCTCAGCCATCATTGCCAATGGTCAGGGATGATGGTTGTTGTAGCCCAACAATCTGCCCCACCAGTCCACCTCTGTCCCACTCCTTCAAGTGTCCTCACTCCCACATTGATGTTTTCTCAGCAAATGCAGGATTGGGAATATGTGGTTGCTGAGATACTGTTTAGCTTTACCCTGACTCATTTGTTGCTGTAAAAAAGATATTGTGGGTCCTACTCAAGTTCCACACATTAAAAAAATTATTGAGACTTAAGCGACATCCTGAGAGATTTCCCTCAGTCTCTTAAAACTCTAGAGCAAGGAATTCCAAAACTTATTCTAATCTATGCCTGTTCTTATTGTTGGAGGCATTTCTTGTCATCCAGCCTAAAAACATCTGTTATAATTTGTTTTTATTCTTATGTTTTTAGTAAGAGGCCTATTTTTTCCTAAACCATCACAGTTCCTAGTCAATTTATGAACATTTTCTAGAATGGCCATCAAATTACTATAGCTAGGTATATTTATAGATGTAAGTGGACAGAAAGACTACCTGAAAGTAAGCTAGGTCAGACTAGAATAGTGTGTTGATGAAGGCAGAGAAGAACAAAAGGAGATAGATTGACAGAGAGATGGAAACTTTTGCCAGCTCAGTGGTAAGTTGAGCCTGTCCTACTCACCAGTCAGGAGTAGTTTGCCCATTTTGATACCTGTGTACTAGGTTGTTTCATCTTCTGTTTCCTTTTTATAAGAAACATTCAGTTCCTACCTCCTTCTGAACACATGTGACTTCAGATGCCCTCACCCCCCAAAATTAAATAGAAAGTTAATATGTAATCATTGGTAGACACAGCTAAAGTAAATTACTATACTGACCGTCCTCTTCACCTTGGAATATTATCTTTCATCCCAATCTTCTGATGTTTGGGATTAAGCAGGCATGCATTGAAAGAGGAAGGTTATTTTTGCATCCCAGATCCTAAATCAATGTTAAACCCTTCCACTCAAAATTTACCAAAGATATTGGGTATTGGATAAGGAAGGCAAACATATGTATCAGTAAGATTTGCTTATGCAATTACAGTGTTGAAAATGGACCATTTAATTGCAGAGAAATGACATTGGAAACAAATCCATGAGCCCTTAGTGAGGCATGAGAGATAACAGCTATTTGGGAAGCAAATTAATTATTGGTTCAGGCCAGTTTCTAATCAACTGCCACCAAGAATTAAAGTAATATGGCTGTGCATAGGCATGCATGTACAAATTCCGTTCACCCCAAAAGCATATCATCCTCAGTAACACATATTTCCCCCAATTTTAATTAGAATATAAATTTAAAATAAGCATTTATACATTTTCTCCATACTCAAAATCAACTCCAAGCCATAAGATTTCCAAGTGGAATATTTTGATTTACAATTGGATAAAAAAAGATTCCAACTTTCAATATCATTTAACCTAATCCTGTTTCTTCTTTCCTCCCAAATCTAACTAAGGGAATAAATTTCAACACATGCAGAGTAGTTTCAATTATCTCAGTCTATTTTTAAATCAAGGTTGTAATTCTCTACTTCCTTACCTGGGAGTAAGTCCCATTTAACCAATACGGGGTCTTATATCTGAGCCAATGTGTCAAGGGTTGCACTGTTTAGAACCATTTGATGCTTTCCATTTATATGTTACTTCAGTTCTTGCCATTATTAAATTAGCAGCCAACACTCCTCATGGTGCAGTGCCTGCCACGAAGAACCACTCTGGCAATTGTCACTCTGTGAGAGAAACAGGGTCTCCTAAGAGGGTCTCGGCATATTTAACAAACTATACAGTTATTTTGGCCCCTGAGACAGGGTTTCTCATAACTTCCTCTCCCTCTTCCTAGCAGTAGAAATACAAATAAACAATGCATTAGCTAACAGTCCACTGCCCTTTCACAACACCCCAAATCAGCTGCCTGAGCTAGTGTGTTATTCTGCTTAATGGTAGGGCTTAGTACTGCTGCATTCACATTGACAGTGATGGAGTGTTTACTAGTGTTGCATCTCATATTTTATTTGCTGGTCTCTAATTTGTAGCTAAGCTGATGCTGTGAAGGGTCATAGCTCAGAGGCAGAGCATCTGCTCTTCGTGCAGAAGGTCCCAAGTTCAATCCCAGTCAGGTTTGATCCTTGGCTGGAAGAGACTCCTATCTGAAATCCTGGAGGACCACTTCCAGTCAATACAGACAATATTGAGTCAAATGGGCCAATGGTGTGATTTAGTATAAGGCAACTTTCTATGTTCTATTGCAGCACTTGAATAAGGTCTTGCATCCCCTGCCGTCAGAGGTTGCTTAAATAATGGGAGTTGTCAGAGAGAGGGCTAAAAAGGCTCCCTGAACATGCTGCTCACAGCCATCTGCTGCCATTGTGTCATTCTCCCTCCCCACCCCAACTCATCCTTCTTCCTGCTGTTTATACACCCTTGTGCAAATTAATTGAAACAAACAATGAATGTAGTAGTTTGTTGTACAAAACTCACATATAGGTACATGTACAAAACTCATATATACGTACATTAGTAATGAATATGACCTCCACTATTTTCAAGCAGCATTTGAACATGGTTTGGCATGGAGTCTACTAGTTTCGAACAGTCACTGTTGATTTTCAGATCCCTGTACCACACTTGAATCAGCGCCTGAATGAGATTCTCCATAGTCGGACAGTCTGCAGCACAGAGGAGACTTTTGCATATAGCCCACAAATTATCAATGGGATTTACGTCTGGGGAATTCCCTGGCCAATCAAGTACCTGTATTTGCTGCTCTGTCATGAATTTCTTCACCACTTTCGATGTGTGGCAGGGGGCTAGGTCCTGCTGCAATATCCCAGTACTGTCATGGTTATCTTTTCCAGCTCTGGAATAACTCTCTTTCGTAGAACCTCAATATATTGTGGTGAGTGCATCATTCCTTCCATTGGCTGCAGGCTTCCGACACCATAATGATCAACTGACTTTTTGTGTTTGTTTTGAGTACAGGATTACGAGTAAGATAGAAAACATGCTTTGTTTCAATTAATTTGCAGAAAGGGTGTATGTAGCCAATCAGATTTTTCTACACAATTACATCACTGAAATTGAATGAAGCCAGTTCAAAGTGAGTGCAATGCTTCCTGAATTACATTGCTTTCACTCCGAATGTACAAACGCTTGTACTGCTTTGAACCCCATAAAACTGCTAACAGGGACCAATTTAGCAGAGTATGGGAGAGTTAATAAGAAACTAAACTACATGACTGCTGACTACATGCCTTACAAATTGGGTCCACGTTTCTGATTCAGGGCAAACCTAGCACATTTAAAATGCCTCAAAGCTGTATGCCATTGCTCATCGTGTGATTGATTATCTTTGCTAGAAACAACATCTGCTGTAAACATTACTTCATAGGTGCTTCTTTCAGAATCTGACATTTAAAAAAAATGCTTTGAAGCTAACAACAGCAACAAAGGCCAAAGAAAGCTAAACAAACAAACAAACAAACAAACAAACAGACAAACAAAAAATCCCTTACACCTGGACTGCTGAAATAGCTAAATGAAATAGATACTTTAGCAAGGGACAGTTGCCAAAAACACCCAGCTGCAAAAAAATCTACCAGCCAGCTTTGAAAAATGCTTTCATTCTATACAACAGACTTAATGCATATTGAAACAAGTCAAATTGCTTTTCTGATGGTCCTCAAACCAGGCTGGGGAACCTGTGATCCTCCAGATGTTGTTGACTTCCAGTTCACATCAGCCCCAGTCAGCATGTCCAGTGATTAGGGCTGATGGGAGCTGCAATCCAGCAACATCTGCAAGACTACAGGCTCCCCATCTCTGCCTTGAAAGAAAGGGGCAAATGGAATTGACCAGGGCCTTTGAAGGAATCACACCTTAGAAAGCAAATGTAACATTAAGCATTTGTCCTTGGAATTCTCCTATAAAAACATTTACTGGGGGAAAATTAAGATAAGATATAATGTTGCTTAGGACCTTGGCAAGTTTTGGTAATTGCCCTAGTGCTGAAATAACCCCAACTTGTACAGAGGACATAAATATGATCTCAATTTAATAAGAATGGGATTGGAAAAATTATAATAATAATTGCTTAAACCCTTAACAAACTTCTGGATACAGAACTGCACTGGACTACAGTTGATTACTGAAGATAGCAACACATTCTCTCATCCAGATTACACACTTGGGAGAGAGGTTGCATGCACATCTTAAAGCACATCTAAAGCAACCCTGTCCCCAAGAATCCTGGGAAATATAAACTACAATTCCCAGGATTCTTTGGGGTAAAATGTGCCTGAAATGTATGGTGTTGTCCTCTTGTTATGGTGTTGTCCTTCTTGGTAACAAACATAGCACTGTGTGGCATGGCATGGTTGCAATGCTATGCACTTACCTAAATGCAAATGTGGCACATTTGCAATAGATTAAGGCTTGCAGGAGTTTTGTGCAAATGATTTTGCTTGATTGTGTGGAAAGGACCTGAGAGACAATTTCAGCCTCCATGGGTGGCATTCAACTAGATTTTACTCAGAATAGATCCGTTGAAATTAACAGATATGACTCAGGTTGCTTAATTTCAATGAATCTACTCTGAGTAAATACTAGTTGAATACCACCCTATGTGTGCAAAATGCTTGTTTGTGTTTTTTTTAAAAAAGCAATTACATTTACACATTGAACATATTTTAAACCAGATTAATGGCACAACTTTGATAGCTCAGGTGGTTAGAGTGCCATGCTGATAAAGCCAAGGTTGCAGGTTTGATCCCCATAAGGAACAGCTGAATATTCCTGCATTGCAAGGGGTTGGACCACATCCTCAGGGTCCCTTCCTACTCTACGTTTTTATGAATCTGTAAGTCACACCTCCTCACCCAACACATCATTACAAGACATACACGCACAAAAACAATTTCCAAGATAACTATTTTGCAGGATAAGAAAAGAAAGCTTTCCCTGAAAAAAAGACAGGAGAGTGTTTTATTGAATGCATTATTTATATATTTGGAAACCAATGCAAGCGCCACCATTACAACGGTGAGTTCATTTTTAAGACAGCTAAGAACAGACTTAACCAGTAATGTCATAACCCTTCGTCCAGGAACTTGGCAATAGTGATGAAAGACTGCAGAAGCACAGAGTGGGATGTGGAGAAACGATGTCTTCACTTCACAGCCGTACAGCAAATTAGGAAGTAACATTAACCAAGAAATAATAGAAAACTTGCTATGGCCGTCTACATTATAGCACTTTAACATGCTTTTAACAACCAAATAAAGTTCCTGACATTTGCCACATAGTAAATGGATCATCTGCATTCATGTCTAGAAGAAACAGATAAGCTCCAGCATGCCTTCACAGTTCTCCTGATATTCATGATTATCCTGTTGCAGAAACTGGAGCTTTTTTATCCAGTTCTTTCTTAATAGCACCAATTAGAGGGTATTTTCCCTGGTTGCAGAAGGAACCCGAAAAATCATCCTGCTCAAGTGTCCAAACCATAATACCTCCCAATTGATTATCCTTCATGTATTGAACCTAAAGAAGATTTAAAAAGAAAGAAAGGGGGGAAAGAATTAAAAAACAAAAACAAATTCTATATCAAATGTAAAATTTTATGGAACTTTTTTGCATACCACACATGGATTTTGTTCACACATCATGGCACGCCATACAACATGACTTACCTTGCATGAACCAAACACGGCTGCTTTTTTCCCATCTTGCTAGTTTGGGGAAATACAAATTACCCCCTTTCTTAACATTACATCCAAACCAGTCTGTAGTACTTTGTGTTCTCCATACACAAAGCAGAGAAGAACAGAGCAACCCACAGCAAACCATTAATTATGGCTTACCATGGTTTGCAACCTGGGCTGTGGAAGCGTCTTAGTCTACGCTGTGGTTCCAGATATGTAAAACAGGCTACTGCTGTCATTTCCTCAATATAGACACATTTGTCTGTCAAGCAGCTGGAAGGCCACCATACTGCACATGCACACCTTTGACAAACATATCTTCCAGGATGGTACCAGCAACCTCTATAGGTCTTCTGTTAGGGCTGGATTTCCACATGGCAGTCAAATGCACATGCATTCACACTCACAGCACAGAGCATTAACACCATATTCATGCACATTGCGTAACAAATTCCCATATGATCCCAAAGTGCACACATGTATTCTGTGACAGCTCATACATGTAAAGCAGCAAAGTGATATTTTGCTGGGATTTTTTTTTAATGGGCCTCTGTATTCTCTGATGTTGGCAGTCTGATAAGAGAATAGAATTGTGAGCAGGCCTGCACATTGCTTAGCCGTATAGCAATCCAAGCTGCAATCTCATACCTAACAGCCACACAGCTTTGTACAATGGCTTGCCACCTAGTTTGAGTATCATTGCTCAGTGAAATAGAAAACTAGATTGAAACCAAGCCAATAGTCAAATCTTTGTAAAAACCTGTACAGGCAACCCCCCCCCTTAGGCAGGAGTTACATTCCAGAGCCCCATGTGCATAAATGAAATCTCGTAAAGTGGAGAGTACCCTCTAAATACCCTTTAAACACCCTCTCTGCTGCTCTCTCTTCACCCATACCAAAAATACTGTATCCAGAAATGCCTACAACTAGAATTGAAACTCAGGGGCTGGCAGGAGGCTGGAAAAGCGCCTGCTGCTGCACTATCAGCTGCTAGGTGGGGAGGCTCAGCAGCCTAAACAAATCCCTGTTGTGCCTCCAGTCTGTTTGGGGCTTCCTCCCCCATCACTGATATCCTCTTTGGGCTCTGGAAAGGGTCTCCTTATGAACCACAAGTGCTCTCCAGCTCTCTCCTGCCATTTCTGGGTTTGAATTGAATTATTGAATTGTTACTGAATTGATTATACATAAGTGGGGGACACCTGTACTGCCAGTCACAGTTTTTCTTTTATTCTACTTCTTGCCACTTAATTTGCTAGTTCTTGCAGATATGGTCTGTGTAGGCAGCTGGGATCATCCAGCTCTTATCCTGATGTACACCTTTGATGGAAACAAGATTTGCCCTCTAAATAAAATTGAGTGGTGGCATCTCTCTGTATGACATTCAGGTGCTCAGCCACTATGGCTTATTTTAAGAATAAGAGGACCTATCCTCACACAATTTCATAACTTTCCTTACCAATACCTGTAGATCATGCAACTTAATGGACAAAGGGAATAGACATTTGCCAGTACTTACCTTGATCTGAACACTTGTCACATCTTCATATCCAACCCACTGGTTCCCTTTATAGGAGTAGGGGACTTTTTGTTCCTGAATCCATTCCTTCTTGGCACCGGAATTAAAGCCACAGATCTGACAGGAATAAATCGAAAGTCATAAACATGAACGTCGATGTCAGCTGATTGTCTATTACTGAAGGACAGGACTGGCCACCATTTTGTCCTGACATCTCTCTTTTGCCTGCCAATGATGGAGAGGCTTTTCACTGACAATGGAAGGCGCTGGAGTCACCTCCACAGCTGGTGACATATTGCTTGGGGAGTCTGATCTCATAGAAGTGGGTCTCTCCTCTAATAGGCCACTAGACCCTTCCCTTGTGTCCAGATCTCCACCTGCCAACCTGCTAGGACCTTCCCCCAGGTTAGTTCTCCAAGGTCCTCCCATTTATCCTTTGACTACTTTCTCCACAATGTTTCCATGATGCTATAACAATATATGTCAGCTATATGCAGTTATAAAAAGAAGGTGAAAGTTTGACCACAACACATGTTTTTGAAGAGAAAATCTGATATAGATTTAAAGTCCTCCCCCATACCATTGCTTTGAGGTCCATAAAGGGATTCCACAGGTAGTGGTACAGTTTGGACACATCACTCCCCCACTTTCCCAATTCTTGCCAGTTAAATTTGATTTTAGGGCAAATGCTTCATTTCAGATTGAGGACTTTAGCTTTCCCATTGCTTTGGGACTGGGAGTGCATACCCTCCAACAGTGCTTTTTTGTGGGGGTACACAGGGGTACGCATACCCCTAAACATTTTGTGAATCTAAATTTGGCCTCATTGAGGGGCAGTATTTCAATATGAGTAGGAAAATGAGAGTATCCCTAAACATTTTTTAAAGGGAAAAACACTGCCCTCCAACATTCCTCATGAAAATAAGAACATTGCTCACCCCCCCACACACCAATTGTCCTTAACCCCTCTTTTTTGGTCCCTGCCCCCACAGAGCATTTCCTATCAGAAGAATGGCGAGTGCCACCACCACAATACCAACTGACATAGCTTACACGCTAACGCCCTGAGAAAACCCCTTATTCCTTTTTTATTTTGCTTTGGTAGATTTAAAAAGAAAAACACACACCAATAAATAAATTTTAGAAAGGGGCAAGATTAAATGTGGGTGAATAAAGCTTTAAAAAAATCTAGACTCTTTGCTCTCTGCTCTGCTTCCCCTTTTTTCCTGCCCAGGGCGGCCCTGTGCTCTGCCTGCTCCTCAGAGCCAGCACATCATGTGGGCCTGGGCCTCGGCAGCAGCAGCTTCTTCTCTTCACCTGCCCTCCAGCAGCCGCAATGAGCTGCCCAAGGGAGGAGGTAGGCAGCGGCAGCCATGGAGAGGCCATGGAGAGGCAACAGGATGCTCCCTCGTTTCCACTGCTGCTCAGGACAAGTGCTAGCTCCTCTTCGAGCTCAGCAGTGGCAGCACTGGTGGGGAAAATAGGGACATTCTGGGATCAAATCAGAAGCTAGGATGGCTTTCATAATTCCCCGTCTGTCCTTGGAAAATCAGGACACTCAGAGGGTATGGGAGTGAAGAAATGCTTCGACTGTATGACATAGTGGTGTGTGCATTCTCTCTCTCTCTCTCTCTCTCTCTCTCTCTCTCTCTCTCTCTCTCTCTCTCCACACACACCCCTATGTGATGTCTGGGTTGTCTATGAGCCACACATATCTAATTATGTACCATTTCTAAGACAGAGCATGAGATAACTTCATGTTAAATTTCTCCTGCCTTCTTCCCATCCTAATTCTGATTTGAATCCATCTCCTTGAGATTGATGAGACAGAAGGGAATTGGGGTTTCTATAGGATAAATGGGAACTTAAATGAAATCCTCCCTACCTCATAATAGGCCAGTATCCCCGCTTCTTTTGTGAAAGGACCAAGTGTCCCAGCACCAGATACTGGGGCTTCAACTCCAGTCAGCTTGGTAGAAAGGGTATAAGACCGGCCATAAGTGGGGATTCCCATGATGATCTTCTCAGCTGGGGCACCTATGCTGCGTAGATACTTCACAGCGTAGTCCTGAAGAAGGAAGAGTAGACTAGTTACTGCATACATTAGGTAGGACACTGAATGTTATTTCTAAACTTCTTTATTTATTATTTCAATTTATATCCCAGCCTTCATTCATGGTCCCAACATGGTTAACAACATAACACACCATTAAAACAATTAACAACTCAGATAAAATATACAAAATGACAATACGCCCTGCTCATACCCAGACCCATGATGAGGACAATTGATTTGAATGTTATTTATTTATCAGCAAAGCACTCGGTTATGTCAGCTCCTAAGTTGCAAGGGATATACACACCACTCCCCGCTAACTAGCTCTCTAGGCAATCTATCTCTGTAGACCTGTGTTCCATCTTGGACATTTGAGCAACAACATAGCCATGCCTCTTCCTGATTTCTTAAATGCCCTTGTCTGACATGGCCAACACAAGCACCCAATAGCTCCTCCTCAGTGACAGCTCCAGCTTCTCCTGTCACTTCAAGGCCCTCCTTGTGTATGGAGACAGTGGTGGGGAAGGATGGAGGCGATTCCAAAGGCACCACTCTCTCTGGACCCATTACAGGCTCTTCAGCTTCCAATACCTCCTCCAGCTCCCCACACATCACCGACCCCTTCCCCTAGATCTTCCTCCTCACCGCTTGCCTCCTCTGCCCACACATTCTCTCAGCCCTCATGCTCCTGCCCATCCCTGACCCAAACGTAATGCAGCACCAGATCAGTTTCTTTGTGACCCAGTAAAGTATTCCCAGCAAACGCTTGGCTGAAGAAGTGTGTTTTTAGCTGCTGCTGAAAAAGAAGCATTGATGGCACCAACCACACTTTGAGGGAGAACCAAAGTGTTATCACAGAACAGGCCCTATCTTAAACTTCACCAATTGACAGGGTAAGAAGGACCTGACTGAACCACTCAAGATTCTAGCAACTGTGTTTCCCCTTAGCTGGAGCTTCCAAGCTATCTTCAGGGGTAACCGCATGAAGACCATATTACAGTAATCTACCAAGAGGTTACCAGAGCATAGATCACTGTGTCGGGGCTCTTATGATCCAGAAATGGCCATAGCTTACCAGACATAGCTGGAGAAGGACACTTTGAGCCACTGATGTCATTTAGACCTCCAAAGACAATGCTGGATCAAGGAGTACTCCTTAAGCTATGAAATGTTTCGTTCAAGTGAGGTTCTCCCCATGCTGAACAGGTCACCTTTCTAATTCCTAGACCTGCCTGTTCAGCACATGTTGCAGATCTGTTGCTATTATCTATGGGTTGCATGTGCCTTGGAAAAATGCAGGATCCTGAATACTAGGCTGTTTTAATACCAGACTGTTTTATTTGGGAAATCTGTCCCCTATCCATCTGCTTGAGTTAATCATCTGTTTAATGGGGGTAGAGGTGGATCTATCTTGTGCCAGTCATTAAATCAATGGATAGAGGGGGCAAAGTAAACAGAGCTCTACCACTGATATTTGGTTCAGAACCTTGTCCACCAGGCTAGCTTTACTATTGCTACAGTAAAGAAAACATGTGGCATTTTTTTTAAAAAAAAAGCTTATGGAAAAGCCCTTTGAAATATTTAACAAAGTCCTTGGACTGACAACTTACAACATTGTAGTAGGATGCAGATCCACTGTCAGCTGTGCTCTTCTGAAGGGGGCTTAAATGGCCTGTGAAACTTTCCCAGGCGCCGTGAAAATCAAAGGTCATGAAGTTAATGAAATCAACATATCTAGAGAAAGAAGAACAAATGGTCACCCAAGATCCTTGGGGAATAACTACAGTTATCTTCAGTTTCTGTTAGGTTTAATAAATCTCATCCACACTTCCAGCCTTCCAGAATGGAAATCTATTTGTAGTTACTTACCATTTTGGAGCAAAACTGTGAGCTGACATTTTTTGGTCTCACCTCTACCTTACAACTGAAAAAGGCACTTTATGTTGAGGATTTTAAATTTCTGTTATTTAATGGGGGGGGGGGCAGGGGGCGCTGGGTGCATTGCACTGCACTTCTTGGCCACTCTCCAAAGCTGTTGCCATGGGCAGCGGACACCTGTTTTTTAAGATAAAATTGGGCTTAATTATCAGGCATGCTCTGAACTAGGGAAGATAAAGTACTCTGCTAACTGATTCAGCCACTGGGTGCCAAGGATTCGACCTGGAGAAGGACTTTTGTTACAACTATCAGTATGTTGGGGAGGTGAGCCTCCATTACTTCCTTTTGATATATTTTGCATTTGCTGGTATTTTTTGGCAAATCTCCCCTGAAGTACGGTTTGAAATGAGCAAGCAGGACTGAAAGAGTATCTTGCTATCATTTTTGTTATGGTTTAACTACAAAATTGACTGTGTGAAATTTGGACTATGATTCTGGCAAAGACCTTTAATTGAATGATAAAAAGAATTTACGATGGGAGCTACGGTGTTTTTTACGGAAACATCAACTCATTAGCAGCTGGAAAAGATTACAGGAGGGAATTTTAGATATCTGCCCGGCGCTAATGGCGAAGAGGCAACATCTCCTCTGGTCTTGGCTGTGACACAGTAAGAAATGCAGAAAGTGAAAGTGGATGAGAATGTTGGATTGCAGGACAATATTTCACACATAATTACAAAGGACTAATCCGCTTGCTTAAACGAACTCAGCGGATGTTAAAAATAAACAAAGGATCAACATTTGGAAATGTTTATCGGGATTATCTGACTAATTAAGGAATGCAGTAACAACATTAGATCATCACTCCCTGAACTTCAGAGCATGGGAAATCACCCAAAGATTTATAATTTGGAATTATTATTTGGCTGTTTTGTTGTATTATAATTTGGAATGTTTTTATGTGGTTTTTACTGGATTCTTAAATTGGAAAACTTAATAAATATGATTTATGAAAGTAAATTACTGTTATTTATTAAATTTGTATACCACCCTTCTCAGGGTACACAAAGAAAGTTGTGCAAATAAGCCCTAAATCATCATTATAGCATCTGTTTGTTGGCCTGAACCATTTAAACTGGAACTAAAGAAATGTACTACTTGCTCACTGTAATTGCCCCACCCAGTATGCTGTTCATTCTGTTTAATGTAGATTCTTTTTTTTAAAAAAAGTACTTACTCTGAGATTGTCTGAATATCATATCCTTTGTCAATGGCTTCCCTTCCAGCGGGTATTGCAACACTCAGTAAGAGTCTTTTCTGACCCCGCCTCCGAAATGCTACAGACAGATCCTAATGGGTGATGCAGAGGATTAATGCAGCTACTGCTACTATGAATCTTACCCCTCCTTCACCATAACATCCCAGGGCAATTTTGTTATTGTAACTTGCCCTGGGATGTTATGGTCAAGGAGGGGTAAGAAATAGAGCAGTACAACTTAAAACAGAATAGCCAACCATTCACACCCCCACCCCAATCAGGTTAATTCCTAGTTTTCAAGTAGGTCACAAACATAAATTTTGCCTGTCAAAAGCAAAGAGGTGCCTTTTCAGCTGAATAATGATGCTGTTAGATTGACTTGTGTAGGGAGGGAGTTTTACAATTGGGGGCTACCACAGAGAAGTCTCTCTCCTGGCCTGCCACTCCTCAGACATCTGAGGACTTATCCACAGTTATCTTCTACCCCACATTTTCAAGGCACCAATCCACATTTTCCCATTCTGTATCCAAGTGCTTTTCCCCCTTTTCCCCACATCTTTCCCCAGAAAAACCTAATCTTTAAAGCTGAATTGAAGCAAATGGCTTTTCATTTTTTCTGTAGATTGCTGTTTGTGCCAATTCAGTGGTAAAGAGCGGGGTTTTGCAGAGAAAGCGGTGGAGCAAAAACAAAACAAAGACATAGTCAAAACCGAAATCATAAGTTATTATTTGTAATTCCTTCCCATCACTGTCTTTTGAATCAATTTCTTTGTTAAATGTATTTGCCTAAGGATGATTTGTATTTTGCTTTACCTTAACCAGGTTAGTCAAACGGCTTTTATCAGACAGTTCTGCTAAGGGCCAAGCAAGATCAAAGCCATCAAAGTTATTTGTCCGAAGCAACTGCAACACAGACATCACAAATTCTGAGCGTGTGGCAGGAGATGCAGTTATTCTTCTAAAGCTATTACAGACAGGAGACAAAAACGTAGAGGGATTCTTGATTACTTTGTATTTTTCATAGAAATAAAGTGAAGCCATTATTATTATTTTTTACAGTAGATGATTGAAGTATTCCACAATAACTGGAAAAAAAGTTTCCACGGGCAGAGAAGTATTCATACTGAAAGTATCACTCCCTCCAATAGAAAACTCAGTACACCATGCCAACAGAAATGGACCACTGGAAAACAAAAGGGAGCCAACAGAAGGGTTGGAAAAACTTGTTGATGACCAGGGCTGTCTTTACCCGGTGGTGCAAGGGGTGCGGGGCACCCGGGTGCTTAATTCTGGAGGGTGCCAAATGTATACCTACTGTATACCTGTCCCTCTCGATTGGCGGCAGTGAAAAGCAATGGAGCTGTCAGGTGGCTGTTGCGGTTGCTCGAGAGTAACCAGGCAGGACCTGTGTTTTACAGGCTTTATTTTGGTGCAAACTATTTACAGTGAAGAGCCCCAAAGCTCATGTCTGGCTCAATCGCTAGCAGAATCCAGGAGTGGTCTTTTTTTGGACCTCCCCCAACATAAGAGTTTCATTACCCCCAACCGTCTCCGCCCCTCTCTGAGCCTCAGACTACTGCGCAGGATGGGCGATGGCAAGGGCGTGTTTCCCTCCTGTCCGGCTTGCCCAGGAGCGGTGTTAAGGCTCCCACCAGCACCTTCTGGTCCTTACACCTCTTCCTCACTGGATGTCGGGCTTTCCTCCTCCCCAGAAGAGGAACTGCTTCACAAGATTTTCAGAGGCTCCCTGTAACACAACTGCCCTTCTATTTCTCGCCTCTGAGTCAATGGCATTTCCCTGACAGGAGCGAAAGTGTCTCCCCCCCCCCCCCCGTTGCTCTGCTACTCCATAGCATCAAATATCACCAGTGAGTCAGGAAACAAAAGCAATTTATTCCGCTGCGTCATTGTTGCAGGTGAGCGATTTCCCCCCCTTAAAAAAGGTCAGCAACTTTGGCTCCCCCCCCCAAAAAAAAGCTCAATAAAAATGAATTTGGGGGTGCTGGGAGGATCTTTGCACCCCGGCAGTGTATATGCTAAAGACAGCCCTGGTGATGACTATAGAAAAACAAGAAAGCAAATTGGGAAGGTGAATTGGCCTGTGTCGGTCTTTTACAGCTCACAGTATATATTGGAGGGCTTGACTGGCTGGAGCACTGGAAAGCAGCACTCTTGTTAAAGGAAGAAGATACACATTTTGTTGCAGGTCCCACTTGCTGAGATGAATTGTAATCTAAAATCCAAGAGAAGAATGGTTCACTGTGCAACTTTATACACCAGGGTTTGCCCATGCTCACCCTCCCACTGGAGGTGTCAAGAAGCATTAGGCTGTCTCACAGTTAGACAGGGAGAAATGTGGAAATAGCCAGGCTCTGACCATCACCACACATGTTCAGAGAGAGAGTTTACAGCAAAGTGTCAACCCCACTTCTGGGAAGTATACTGGCTATACTGAAAGGACAGGCCACTTTGGAAGAGAAACCTTTGGCTTTTTTTCACTTATGATTTTTACTGGCATAAGCAAAAATTAAGTTCAGTGGTACCTCAGAAGTTGAACGGAATTCATTCCGAAAGTCTGTTCAACTTCCAAAATGTTTGGAAACCAAGGCATGGCTTCCGATTGGCTGCAGGAAGCTCCTGCAGCCAATCGGAAGCCGCAGACGTCGTGTCCAATGTTTGGGTTCCAAAGAACGTTTGCAAACCAGAACACTCACTTCTGGGTTTGCGGCATTCGGGATCCAAAACGTTCAACTCGCAAGGCATTCGGGATCCAAGGTACGACTGTAAACAGATAGCTCTAGACTTACGGTTCAGGTCCCATGAGAGCTCCACCAACAGAGAGAAGGGTCTTCAAGTTGCGATTTCTAAAGAAGAAAAGAGTGAATAAAATAAAGAGTATTAGGATATTTTAAAAAAATGATTTCAGCAAAGCAGAAGTCAACTTTGGGTTTTTTATAGCACAGAACATCATCCAGAGTGTTACATGTGCACAGTTAATTAATTTTCTCTGGATTGTGCAGAGGGGAGGGGAGAGTGGCACTAGGCCAAGCATTCTGAGTAATAGGCTGTATGGAATAATCAGAGCATTTGATAAACTTGGAAGTAGCATATTTTTCACCATCCCTCATTTAGTACTACCAAAGCAGTGATGAGTACTTTAAATAATTGTTTCAGCTGATGAACAGCTGGAGAGGTTAGAGTAAAGTTGTGTCCCTTGATACACTCCTCTTCTGCTCAGAAACAACCTGCCAGAGACTGCTTCAAGGCTTTTGCTTTAAAAAAGTTTGAGAAAGAATAATACAACTCAACACAATGTGATATTTGAACCCCAAATATCCATCAACCTGTGAAGTTATTTAAGTAAATGAGGCCTCTCCTTCCACAGTGGTTTAATTATCAGCATTACTGATTCCATTGCTAGTGGAAAGTGCAGTGGCTTGCACTGAGGAAACAGTCAAGGCACTTGGTGTCTTGCAAGAGATAGAGTCTGGGGGTCCACACTGCATGCTACATAATACAGTGGTACCTCGGGTTACATGCACTTCAGGTTACATATGCTTCAGGTTACAGACTCCGCTAACCCAGAAATATTACCTCAGGTTAAGAACTTTGCTTCAGGATGAGAACAGAAATTGTGCTCTGGCAGTGCGAAAGCAGCAGGAGGCCCCATTAGCTAAAGTGGTGCTTCAGGTTAAGAACAGTTTCAGGTTAAGAACAGACCTCCGGAACGAATTAAGTGGTTAACCTGAGGTACCACTGTACTTGGGTTTTACCCTTCTGAAAACAGTGAACACTAGCTACTGTTGGGGAGGCAATTAGGATTGGAATCATGGTGGATATGGTATAACCTACCTGCCATGGTTATACCAAGAACTGTCCCAAAGCTTTCATTTTTGAGGATGAAAGTTTCCATTGGCTCCAATGAGAGCTTCATTTTAGATACAAAATCAGGGGCTAATTATCACTGGGACCATGGTGGAGGGGAAGGGTTAAACAAGCCATGCCCAAGCACACACCATGTTTCTGATCACCATCCCCGGTGACTATTTATTATTGTAAAACATACATATGAGGTGAAGTTACATCTCCATATGTAGTTTGACCCAAGGCCCACTCACTCCCTGCAAGAGAAGTCCCAGCTAGGCTCAGCATGGGCTGTGTCAACAATAGAGAATGCTGTGGAGGTAGGGTCCCCTTTGTGTTTCATGTTTTGCGTGTGCCTTCTTATGTTACCCACCTTTTAAGCTGATTGAGAGTCCCATATGTAGTGGCATCATTCCATTCACCGGGCTCGAGCTGGTTGCCACTTATTTTGGCGAAAGCATAAATGATGTGGGTGCAGAGATTTGGATCAATCTGATCAGCAACAAAACGCCCTGAAGTTTCCCGGTACTGGGACCAGCTGGTGAAATAGCAAACCAGCTTAGAGGTAGAAACTGTTAAGATAATTAGGAGAGATAATTAGGTTAAGATAATTAGGAGAGATAATTTTTTAAAAAGGAGTTAGTTCCATTCCAGATAGAGATTTAAGAAAGCATCGCTTTCTGCTGCCACCTGTGTCCATTGCATGCAGTGCTCCTTCCATCCCTCTCTTCTTGGGCTTCTTCTGACGAAACTTACATTATTTGTCTTGCTGTCCACTGTGGTGGAATTTCACATCGTTAATTACATTGTCATTGTTTTGATCCATACCATTCAACTCAATGGAAAGGCAGTGCAATACAAACTGGGGCGGGGAGTGATCAATTATGTATTCTTTGCAGACTGAAGACAACAGCAAATACTGATTCTTTTCACTAGATCAGTTCTGTTTGCTTGTTCATCATGGGATGAACAAGCAAACATCAGCAATTTCCACTGGCATTTCCACCAGAATTCTCCAGCAGTCGTACTTCAAGATGACCTTTTCATTCACCCTGACAGCACTGGACATTAGGTTCTCAAATCTCAGCAGCACCCTGTGTGACGCTAAAATTCAGTGCTCCCCACCTCTCACTCTCCATTCTACAGCATTGTTGTGGCACCTCCCGCTGTGCCACTGCCCTGGTCACACCACCCCAAACCCGCCACTGATTCTGATTTGTTTGCATAAAGTTTGTGGGGAGGTTAGAGGATATCAGCTCTTCCTTGAGCATCCATACTGATTTGTTTGCAGGGATATTATATGATGTTGCATCAAGCAATTGTTATCTCACAATCTTCAGGGAATTTCCCTTTCACGGAGAGTCCATTTTTGAGGTGAAGTCAGTGCACCAAACCAACTTTAATTGTGCAACTTGCATTTGTCTGTATGCGCTTGAATCCCACCCATAATTACTGACAGTCTGGACACACCCTTAGTCAAATAATATGTGGGAACCTGCCACAAAAGGGCAAAATGCAGGACCTCCAATTGCTTGGGCAGTTGGTACATATGTAGACTCACTTCACACAGCCTGTATCTATATCAGGAGTAGGGCTTACAGATATGCTCCTTCCTTCCTAACCTCTCCCTGCCCCACTGCATACACTCTGGGTTGAAGGCAAGGACAGGAATTCTATCTCCATTTAGTAATTTTGTGCACATCACAAATAAAACATTGATTCAGACCCTTCCCGGGGAGGGGGAAAGTGTTGGGGCACTTTCAGACATCCTGGGATACCTGTTCAGTGGCCAAAGCCCCATCATGGAGAGCTTCCCTCATTACCAACCCTTATAGAATGATTGAATTGAGGGAATGTGAGCATATTAGAACCCTAGTAGAGACTGACAGAAGGAATTTCCATCCCCAGAGTGATTTCTGAAAGCCAAGAAAAGAGGAAAAAATAACTTACCAGACTGCAGAAAGATCAGCGCAGTGATGCTTACTGCAAAAAGTCAAGAGGAGAAAGTCATGTTATGACAAGACTAGACCTGCTATAAATACCATATTATCACTACCTTTTTCAAATTCTTGAATGTTCAAAGTCATGCACTTTGATTAATAAAACTACTCAAATCATGAGCATGATTACCTTAGGCAGAGAGGGATTTAAAACTTGCTTAGATGGTTAGCTACATGGGATTTCCCCACACAGCAATACGGGCTTTTTTGTATTGCCCATGAAATTTTAAAAGGTACATAACCATAAACGTTCAAAATAGTATTCAGTTACCCTCTCCATAACTTGTACCCAATTAGCAACATCAACAACATGCAATCGGTCACTGTTGTCCTGCCAAAGCAAATCCTTGGAACTCCAGCTGGAGAAAGCCCAGGATAGTCTCCAATCCTAACCTTCAATCACATTGCCAAACTCACCAGCCCACACGGAAACCTGGCCCATCCTGGCTGCTGTACCACAATGACAATGCTGCTTTCTTTACAATCGTGCTTCCACACCGCTGATCCCAACCTTTTAAAAATAAAATTAGAAGAGGAAGTGAAGGCATGTAACAAGTGTGTGGCTTTCACACACTTGAGTGAAAATGTCCTCATTTCTGTTCCTGGAATGATTGTGAAATTGTCTAGCCAGGAAGTGTTGCAATCAGGACTGTGGAATTTTTATTTTTCACAACATGCTGGTTGAAGCTGACATAATGGGAAAACCAAACCAAACAAGTTTAATATCCTTTCCTATCTGTTCCAGATTGCTTGATTAGCACATTTTAAATCTTGACACAGGACCAGGTTTATCCAAAATACCTCGGCCCTGTTCACTTGTTACAGTTCACATCAACGCATGGGTGGAAAGTGGACTGTGCCAGCTAGTCCCACTGCTACCACTCGCCTGACCAACCATGCCCCTGACACCTGCATGTTGACATGGACATCAGCAAAGGGGACACGTGTGCTATACATTGTTTAGCTCCATGTATGAAGGTTTTCAGGTCATGGGTTCCAAATTGTGTGGAAGCCTTTGCATACACAACTGTACACATGAAGCTTTCCCCTTTGCAAATGTCTGTGGCTAACATATTGTTAGATGCCACCCCTATCTCCGAGCAATGCGAAATTCCAGGGGTTCCAGGTACTTACCCAAGTTTTGTGTTTCCTTCAGAAATTAGGCACAACAAAGACTGTGATGTCTTTATGATATATGGCTTTGTTTATGTTTGTTTTTTACATATATACAACCTGCACCTAGATGGAGGGATTGCAGAGCATCCTGGTTTCCCTCTTAAGGGCAGCATTGGATTCAAAGAACAGCAAAAAGCCACCCTCTGTGTCTCTTAGTCCTAGCCTGTCAGCCCCAGCTCACAGGGAGTTTTGCCCCTCCTTCTCCTTCTTGCTGCTAACTGAGTCCAAGGACCTCCTCACAGCCTGCTTCATTCAAAGCTGAAACCCTAGACCTGGTCTTTGCCTCTGCCCCCTAGCACCCAGCACAGAAGGAGCCCCACTACTCTTTGCCTTTGCTAGGGGACCATCCAGCTAACTCTCCTGAGCTGGCTTGGCTTGTTAGCATAACTAAATCCAGGGGATTCTCTATTTGGCAATGTTTAATCAAACCATTATTCAATCAAACTTTTACTAAATCCAGGCACAAACCCATAACATCATGAAGTTCAAGAAGGACAAAGCTGGTGGTGAGGAGGAGTGCAGTGGCAGGGGTGTCTCTAGGTGTAAGAAGAACCCAGACTTGCATGTATTGAACATTTGAGCACTAATAAGTGAACTAGGGCTATATATACACATTGATATATAGAGAATTCAGATACTGGTTTCCGGTGCTAATCAGCTTAACACACCAAAAGCACTGATCAGGCACACTTGGATCTCATCACAAAAAAAGAGCACACCAAATAGTTTTGAAGACTACCCTCCTTTTTGGTTTGCTGTGATGTGTGAGCTAGGCATGTACTGTATATACGACCAACCTGTGCTGTTGTCATTCCTGGTATTCGTAGCAGAACTGTACAATAGTCCAGCAATATGGTACAACAATTACTTCCTGATAATAATAAAATAATAATAATAATAATAATAATAATAATAATAATAATAATAATAATAATATCTTTATTGTCATTGCCCCCTCTCGGGGACAATGAAATTACTTGAAAGGTATTTGCAGGTGCATGCTGGGATCAAAGTATTAATTAGGGGCCCTTTTTATGACAGGATAAATGCTATTTGTTGTAGGAATGATATTATATTGTTTTGATTGAATTAATGTGGACCTTAATAGCAGACCACATGATCGATTGATAGATGATAGAGTATTGCCAGATATATCTTTGAAGAACCCAGCAATCCAATAAGCTGATGGGAAATGGAGCCCAACAACAGCTGGAAGAGTTTAAAACCTTCCTTCTCATAGATCTAATCCAGCCACCAAGAGATGTAAGGGAAGAGAATCAAATGTTGTGAAAGGAAGGAAATTTGTGTACCGAACTGTGTTTTCTCTTAATTTACTCTTTTTCCTTTAAGTGACTTGCAAGTACTGTAGAGATTCTCAGAGAAGCTGCTCTACTGGGTAATTAAACATTTTCCTACTTCTGCAAATTCAAGTACTAGAGTGATTAACATTTGGTATGAGAGTCTACATTTCATTGTTTTTTGACGCAGAATCTAGCCTAGCACGAAAACTTTTTGCAGAAGCGAAAGTGATATAGCAAATGTTGTTCCTAATTCATACACAGCTTTCTAAGACTCTGTAACTACCGGTAATTCAGCGAATATTAGCAGCAATTGAGGAAATTTTTTTTTAGGTCAGAACATTTAAGATGAACCCAGCTTAAAAAGTGAGTCAGTATTGGTCGTATATACATATTTAGGGATCATTTTGACTGAAACTGATTTGACCTATGATGTAGTTGCAGATGAAGTAATTTTAGTTTCAACATCAGACAAGGGGAATACAGGGCCTAATACTCACTCCATGCTGGATAAATACAACCAGAAAACCAATTATGTTAGTTATGAATGAACAAATAATCCATCAAATAAAAATAATAGTAGAATAACTTGGCTAAGTGACCAGGACAATAATTAGTCCATAGTGGCTTCTTTTAGTTAAGGAAATAAAGGAGCAAGAGGTCTTGAAGTCTATATCAATAGTCTTAGTAGAGTCACACAGTAAACTCAGTGGTAAAAGAATAAATTTGAATCAAGTTAAAGTGTATGTGTATATGCTTCATTGCTTCTTACTGATGATGGATGCTGAGCACTTGCAACAGCTCTGATATTTGGGAATTTTTCTCTAAATCACTTACATGAAATCAGAATCAACTGCTTAGAATCCCAAAATTATAGCTGCAATCTTAAACATCCAAGGGAGCTAGCACCATTGAACTGAATGGTCTTATGTCTAAGTAAACATCGCAAAGGATGGTTCATTGTCAAGAAAGACAAATCCTTGGAGATGATGAAGGTGGCTGGAACTGTGGCTTTGGCAAGAAAGGACAGCCAGCCTTCTGATCATGACTCCTTTCTAACCTGCCCTCTGTTCATGAGTCCATGAAGACCTCAGTGACTCAAATAGAATCTATTGTTTTCTAACCTTTCATCTCAGTTATACAGACTTAAGATGGCTAGCTTTTTTTCTTCCTATGCTCCTAACTGTGATTAATTTATAGGCATTTTAAAACTGAAATGCCACTTCAAGAAAACCTGTATTTTCTCCCCTGCAGCTATGAAAGCAGACTCAAGCCTGTATTTCGGTTCAGAAATGAAATCAAACCATCTTTGGGAGGCTAATCACAGTTCTTCTGTGCCACATGTATATTTCAGCCCTAGTGGAAACAATAAATACAAAATAGCTGTAAGCTTAAATTCAAGAGCATGGTTGAGCTACTCAGATAAAAGGAACAACTATCTGATAAAATATAGAACATTATTTGTTAGAGAAGTGTAGAGTGCCATCTATTGGCAGAAATACTGGGCACAGCCACCAGAAATAAGTTTCCAATTTCTAGATTCAGGTAGGTAGCCGTGTTGGTCTGACGCAGTCGAAATAAAAATAAACAAAATAAAAAATTGTCCAGTAGCACCTTATAGACCAACTAAGTTTGTTCTGGTATAAGCTTTCGTGTGTATGCACATGTCATACATAGAGCCAAGAATTGCGAAGTTATTAGATACTAAAGCAAAAGCAGAAATGTCACTCTTTTGGATCCTAAATTTGTTCCTTGTGGGTTTTTTTTTTTTAAAAATGAACCAAACAGAGAGAATGTTTTGAAATACATGTTTACATGAAATACATGATGTGGACAGGCTGCTTGGACGAGTGAAACCAACCACCTGTCTCCTGGATCCTTGCCCATCCTGGCTTATAAAAGCTAGCCGGGAAGGACTGGGCGATGGGCTTCGTGGGGTGGTGAATGCTTCCCTCCGTGAGGGAGCCTTCCCAGACCCGCTGAAAGAGGCGGTTATTAAACCGCTTCTTAAAAAAACATCTTTAGATGCGGCCACCTGACATTCAGAAGACATCTACCTGACATTCTACCTGACATTCAGAAGACATCTTAAGGCAGCCCTGTTCAAGGAAGTTTTTAACGTGTGATATTTTACTGTATTTGTGGTTTTTATGGAAGCCGCCCAGAGTGGCTGGGGAGGCCCAGCCAGATGGGCGGGGTATAAATAATAAATTATTATTATCATTATTATTATTATTATTATTATTATTATTATTATTACCAGTTATTAAAATGAATTCACGGAGCTGGTTGCCTGCTAGGTATGCAACAAAACAAGCCTCTAACTACTTTTAGTTGAAATGAGTTTATTTTCTTTTGCTAAAATTATTAGAAATAGGGAGCAAGTGGCTACATATTGTATAAGCAAACTATTATGAAGTGCTCATATCTTGCTGGCTGGTGCGTTGTTCTTTGGTGCAAAGTAGAGGCAGATACTATAACCCTATTTGTTAAAGACTTGGAGAAATATGCAGATGAACATATTGGAAGTATAGGCAGTTTTACAGGGACAGCAAAGCACTTAGCTCTGAAGTACTTAGCTCTGAAGACAACGGAATGTCATCTTTGGGGTTTGCCGATATTAGAAGCCCTTTATTGAGGATGACTGCAACATTTGCACTGGTTGTCAAAAGTTAGTCCTGTTGGGCAAGGCAAGCTGAAAGTCTTTTTGTGGGTGCACATATAATACTTTGTGGCATCTTGCAAATCAGCATGGATCCCATCCTCCTTGTCAAGGCAAAAGGTGTCTGCTGTAGGTGCATCAGGTTGTGGCGCATCAGGTCTTGGAGGTTCAGCAGGAACTGGAGGTTTGGGGTTTGGTGCCAGGCCTGCCAGAAGAAGAATATAGATAGTTTAGCCTTTATACACACACACACACACACACACACACACACACACACACACACACATTAATGTGACGCGGCAGCTAAAAAAGCCAATGCAATTCTGGGCTGCATCAATAGGAGCATAGCATCTAGATCAAGGGAAGTAATAGTGCCACTGTATTCTGCTCTGGTCAGACCTCACCTGGAGTACTGTGTCCAGTTCTGGGCACCACAATTCAAGAAGGACACTGACAAACTGGAACGTGTCCAGAGGAGGGCAACCAAAATGGTCAAAGGCCTGGAAACGATGCCTTATGAGGAACGGCTAAGGGAGCTGGGCATGTTTAGCCTGGAGAAGAGGAGGTTAAGGGCTGATATGATAGCCATGTTCAAATATATAAAAGGATGTCACATAGAGGAGGGAGAAAGGTTGTTTTCTGCTGCTCCAGACAAGCGTACACGGAGCAATGGATCCAAACTACAAGAAAGAAGATTCCACCTAAACATTAGGAAGAACTTCCTGACAGTAAGAGCTGTTCGACAGTGGAATTTGCTGCCAAGGAATGTGGTGGAGTCTCCTACTTTGGAGGTCTTTAAGCAGAGGCTTGACAACCATATGTCAGGAGTGCTGTGATGGTGTTTCCTGCTTGGCAGGGGGTTGGACTCGATGGCCCTTGTGGTCTCTTCCAACTCTATGATTCTATGATTCTATGATTCTAATAATACTGCATATATCTGGAGCTGGCGCTCATGAAAGGCTCCAGCAATGCAGCTGCCTCTTCTGCCTCTTCCTCTGACTTCTTGTTTCTGGTACCACATGCAAGGCTTCTGTGCACATTGACTTTTAGGATGCTGTGGCAAATTTAAGCTTGTAGTGTGAGGTACGCCTTTGATTGCTCAATCAAGGAAAGGTGGTCTTCAGATGTTCCAGATTAATGAAAGAAATTAAATGGTGCTGAAATCTAACTTGAAATTTAATGGGGATGGGGTGAAATTAGTCACACACAAAGAGAACCTTTCAATATCAGTAGAAAAGGAACCAGGGAAAGTGCTGTTTGGTGCAGAGAAGTGGTGTGTGGGAAATGTTCATAAAACAGAAGGCATGGTGAAGAGTGGGAGATTCAGAAACGGTTAACCGGTTAAATGATGAGATTTCTTGCTTCCACAAGAAATGGCGCTGACCATATTAGATGGATTTCAAGGTAGGGATTAGATGAAATTATGGAAGCTAGGGCTGCTAGTCATGGGGAGAATATGCTGTCTCCAAGGTCAGAAGCAGCATCCCACAGTTTCTGGGGGTGGGGGATAGTAGGAGAGACCTAGTGCTTCACGTCCTGCTTGTGCGCTTCTCAGAAGCATGTGGTTGGCCACTGTGGGAAAGAGGATAGTGGAATAGGTAGACTTTTGGGCTGACCCAACTGGGCTCTTACATGCTTACACAGCCTTCATCGTTCATTCCCTGGTGTGTTGCATGAAGAGGAGGAGAAATGCACAGCCTAAGAGAGCTGTTTTAGGTTAAACAAGTTTATTTAAGCACAGCCAGAGGCCTAAAGGGAGACAAGAAACTCCCCTTTTCACAGAGACCTTTCTTCTTCTTCTTCTTATATCATGAGTGCAACTACCTATTGCTATATAACAGGAAGCCAGAATGAAGTAAGAGTGTTGGGTAAATATTTAGTTCCCTACAGGCCTTGTGTCTGAGGATTTCAAGAAAAACAAATATAATAACAAAGGATTAACCTGTGGAGCCAAGTTCTCTCTTCAGAGTCTGGAGGAGTGGGTATGCTCCTTGGCCACAGAAAGAACCACTGAAGTCATCCAGATCCATGGCCCATACCATGGCACCTCCCAGCTTCTTTTGCTTCAGATAGTTGACCTGAGAGAAACAGAAAACAGGAATTCAAAGGCTTATGGGAGTAATAATAATGGTGGGAACCGTTCTAGGGCAATGAATATGGCTCCTGATTAAGAAGGAAAGTAGAATATTCAGAGGTCTGTAAGTATGCTGCCTTTAACAGTAAAGTCCAAGACAAAAGTAAATCATCATGACAACTGACAATTTCAATATGAGCAGTTGCTGGAGTGGTGGGACAGAGCTGACCTCCAGACACTAGCATCACTGCAGCTTATGGCCAGAGCCAATCCAGCACTTCCATCAGGACATCCATGCAGCCCAGTGCCTTGCCCCACCCTACCCATGTAAGCGGCAGTGATGTCAGTATTGGGAGAGCAGCTCTGCAACATCACCCTATCACTGGCTGCTATTGTTCAACATTAAGCATTTTGTCCTTGGAAAAGCATGGTGAACCATAGCTACCCACTGCATGTGTTTTGATTGATTGATTACATTTATATCCCCCCTTTCCTCCAAGAAACTCAAAGTGGTGTACATGGTTCTACTCTCCCACATTTTATTCTCACAACAGCACTGTGAGGAAGGTTGGGTTGAGAGATGGTGACTGGCCCAGGGTCACCCAGTGAGGCTTATCACTGAGTGGGAATTAGAACCATGGTCTCCCAGGTCCAACACCCTAATCACTATGTGGAGTGAAAACCTCCACTTATGTCAGATTTTGGGGAATCAGATCTCTCCCCCGGTAGCAGTAATAAACAGATCAAATGAAAGGAGAGTTCTTACCAGTTAGTTTCTTTAATAATCACAGTGAAAGACAAAGTAATGCATATCTCTCTAGAAATGGTGATGCTCCCAGTAAAGGTTCAGCCCCTCTGTCCCCATTAATCTACGTCACTCCTATGTTGGGTAATCTGAGTTTGTTGCCGCTGTGCTTTCTGTTTTACCACTCTCAAAGCCCTTCTAGGGAGGGACAAGTGGGTCAGGAATGCTGTCCAATGACACTGAATCTGCCAGCTGTTTCTCTCTTGGTGTTTCCTCTTCTAGTTGTTCCTCACCCAGTATTTCCCAGCTTTCCCCCTCTGGACTATGCCCCTCTGCAAACCACTGTTCTAAATCAATACTGTCCTCCTGCCCTCAGGAAAAGTGTGTGTGGGGGAACTCCCACCATTCCTCCTCAGTCCAGCCCCTGACACCTTAATTCCTTTTGGAAATTGCATTCTACATAGCAAAGTGGTCCTTAAACAACCTAGTATCTTTATTATCTAGTCATTATGTAGCTTGCTAGCATGTTTACCAGGTGATGATTTTGAAGCATAACATTGACTGAGCTCCACTAAATGTTTTGTACGGATAAAAGCAAATATATGTATAATTGTTACCTTAGTTTTAATGCTGTCCACATTGTCGTATCCTACCCACTGATTTCCCTTGAAGGAATAGGGAGCATTCCCCCCTGGAATCACTGCTGTGGTGGCACCTTTATTAAAGTTGCAGATCTGAAACAAAATAGATTGGAGCATGGCTGTGTTACCACATGGTTGAATTGAGACACTTGAGGTCAGACAACTTCCCCATTACGGAGGTGTAGAAATCAGAGCCTGTTGCAATTGCAAGAAGGGCAGTTAAAATGACCTAGGAGATAGAGCAAGCTTCCTCTTACGAGGAATGGTTTCAGCATTTGGGGGCATCTAGTTCAGAGAAAAGATGACATGATAGAAGTTTATGAAATGATGCATGGCACGGAGAAAGTGGATAGAGAAAAGTTCCTCTCCCTTTCTCATGCAGTAGAATTCATGGAGATTCAATGAAGCTGAATGGTGAAAGATTTAGGACAGATTAAAGAAAGCACTTCTTTGCAAAGCACATAGTAAAACTATGGAACGTGATCCCTCACCAACCAGTGATGGCCACCAAATTGGATGGCTTTCAGAGAGACAAATTCATGGAGGACAAGTCTACCAATGGCTACTAGCCACAATGGCTATCTTGCACCTTGTGCCTCTGAATAATAGGTAGGTGCTGGAAATTGCAGGTGGCCAGAGTGCTGTTGTGCCATGCTCAGCTTGTAGGTCTCAAAGAGGCATCTTGGTGGCCACTATGAGAACAAGATAGCTAGCAGGGCAGCAGTTGAAGAAGGAGCAAAAAGGGTTTTCTTGTGTGTGTCTTTGTGGCTGATTAGCTGTTCTCCCTGTGCAAAGGTCAGAGGGGGCAGGGTTTCTGTTGAGGCAGGTGATTAGCTGTGGGAGGAGCTTATCAGAGCTAGCAGGGCAGCAGTTGAAGAAGGAGCAAAAAGGGTTTTCTTGTGTGTGTCTTTGTGGCTGATTAGCTGTTCTCCCTGTGCAAAGGTCAGAGGGGGCAGGGTTTCTGTTGAGGCAGGTGATTAGCTGTGGGAGGAGCTTATCAGAGCTAGCAGGGCAGCAGTTGAAGAAGGAGCAAAAAGGGTTTTCTTGTGTGTGTCTTTGTGGCTGATTAGCTGTTCTCCCTGTGCAAAGGTCAGAGGGGGCAGGGTTTCTGTTGAGGCAGGTGATTAGCTGTGGGAGGAGCTTATCAGAGCTAGCAGGGCAGCGGCGCGCGCCTAGCGGCGCGCACAGTTTGATCCATCTTTTAGATTTAGGGGAGCTAGTCTCAAACGTTTGTTGGGGGAGACCTAGGGTTTTTTTGTGTGTTGGGGGAGTTATTTGTCCTGTCTTCACACTTTTTATGATGGAGGACCGCTGTAGCCACCCCCAACGACACGTACTCAAGATGGAGGAGGAGGGAACAGCTGCAGTCGCCTGCGGTTCCTGCGCAATGTTTGCCATCTTGCCAAAGATTGCAGGCAGCTTTACCTGCAGCAATTGCATGTTGATTGCTCTCTTAAAAGACAAAGTCCAGCAACTGGAGGAACGTGTAGCTACGCTCCAAAGAATTAGAGAGCTGGAGCTCTTCTTGGAAGCAACAGAGCACACCGTCTCCACCAAGGAGGAGACAGGGGACTCCCCTGTGAAGGAGGCTAGCTCACCAACACAGGAGCCAGATATATGGAGAAACGTGACTCAAAGAAGTAGGAGGCCCAGGGTTCGCTCTGATTGTTTAGAAATACGCAATCGCTTTGAGGTCCTCTCCCCTAGCATGGAAGACGAAGAGCACACTCCATTTGAGGATCTCTCCCTCATTACAGTCGATCAGGTATATGAAGACGACCAGCAAAGTCAGTCCTCAGGGAATGTGCAGGCGACCTTGGAACGGACAGCTCACGGAAGAACCCCGACCAAACCTAAGAGGAGGCGTGTAGTGGTGATAGGGGATTCCCTACTGAGGGGAACAGAAGCAGTGATCTGTGGGCCTGACAAGATGTCTCGGGAAGTGTGCTGTCTCCCCGGGGCTAAGATCCAAGATGTAACTGAACGACTGCAAGGAATCATAAAACCCACTGACAAATACCCCTTCCTCTTGGTTCATGTGGGAACCAATGACACTGCAAGCGATAGCCTCCAGAAGATCAAAAGAGACTACAAGGCTCTCGGCAGGAAATTGAAGCAACTAAATGCACAAATTGTCATCTCATCTGTCCTCCCAGTTGAACGACGTGGCCCAGGGAGAGAGGGAAAAATAGTGGAAGTGAACAGCTGGCTTCGCAAATGGTGTAAACAGGAACGGTTTGGATTCTTAGATCACGGACTGCAGTTTCTTGAAGATGGACTTCTGGCAAGCGATGGGCTGCACCTCACAACGGTTGGGAGAAATGTTTTTGCCAAAAATCTCAGAAACCTCATCAGGAGGGCTTTAAACTGACTAATGTGGGGGAGGGAGACAATGCTCCTGAAGGTAGGAGTCTATCAATTGATGAAGATGATCATCCAAATGTCATAGACCAAATGGAGCAAACAGCATGCAGACCTAGTGGTGGGAGGAAAAAATCCTTAAATAAGAGACACGGGGGAATGATTAATGGACTTCAATGTCTGTACACTAATGCGCAAAGCATGGGAAATAAACAAGATGAGCTTGAGCTCTTGGTACAGCAAACTAAATATGACATAATAGGCATCACTGAAACCTGGTGGGATAAGTCCCATGATTGGAATGTAATAATGGAGGGATACAATCTATTTAAGAGAAACAGACCAGACAAGAAAGGGGGAGGAGTGGCGTTATATGTCAGGGATGTGTATACCTGTGAAGAGATCCAAGATTTAGAACCTCAAAGCCAAAGTGAGAGCATTTGGGTCAAAATTAAGGGAGAGAAGAATAACAGAGACCTCATTGTGGGAGTTTACTATAGATCCCCAAGCCAAACGGAGGACATAGATGATGCCTTCCTGGAACAGATGGCCAAGCATGCAAAAGGAAGGGAGATAGTAGTAATGGGGGACTTCAATTACCCGGATATTTGTTGGATGTCAAACTCAGCCAAGAGCATAAGGTCAAACAGATTCCTCACTGGCCTTGCAGACAACTTCATTGTCCAGAAAGTGGGAGAAGCAACAAGAGGAACAGCCATTTTAGATCTCGTCCTAACCAATGTTGATGACCTGGTTAGTGGGGTAGAAGTGGAAGGATCATTAGGCACGAGTGATCATGCTCTTCTGAAGTTTACTATACAGCGGAAAGGAGCAGCCAAGCATACTAGGACTCAATTTCTTGACTTTAAGAAAGCCGACTTCATAAAACTTAGGGAAGTGCTGGGTGAGATCCCATGGACAGTAATACTAAAAGGAAAGGGAGTTCATGATGGCTGGGAGTTTGTTAAGAGGGAGATAGTAAAAGCACAACGTCAGGCAATACCAATGAGACGGAAACATGGAAGGTGCCTAAAGAAGCCAGGGTGGCTATCTAAAGAACTTTTAACTGAGTTAAGATTAAAAAAGGATGTGTACAAAAAATGGAAAAGGGGGGAAACCACCAAAGAGGAATTCAAACAAATAGCCAGCACGTGTAGACACAAAGTCAGGAAAGCTAAAGCACAGAATGAACTCAGGCTTGCTAGAGAGGTTAAAAGCAACAAAAAAGGCTTTTATGGGTATGTCCGTAGCAAAAGGAAGAACAAAGAAACAGTGGGGTCACTCAGAGGAGAAGATGGTGAAATGCAAACAGGGGACACAGAAAGGGCTGAACTCCTCAATGCCTTCTTTGCCTCAGTCTTCTCCGATAAAGAAAACAATGCCCAACCTGAAGAATTTGGAGCAAATGATTCAGCAGAGGAAACACAGCCCAGAATAACTAAGGAGATAGTACAAGAATACTTGGCTAGTTTAGATGTATTCAAGTCTCCAGGGCCAGATGAACTGCATCCAAGAGTATTAAAAGAACTGGCAGATGTGATCTCAGAACCACTGGCAGTCATCTTTGAGAATTCCTGGAGAACAGGCGAAGTCCCGGCAGATTGGAGGAGGGCAAATGTTGTCCCTATTTTCAAAAAGGGGAAAAGAGAGGACCCAAATAATTACCGCCCAGTCAGTCTGACATCAATACCAGGGAAGATTCTGGAGCAGATCATTAAGCAAACAGTCTGTGAGCACCTAGAAAGGAATGCTGTGATCACCAATAGTCAGCATGGATTTCTGAAAAATAAGTCATGTCAGACTAACCTGATCTCGTTTTTTGACAGAATTACAAGCCTGGTAGATGAAGGGAACGCAGTGGATGTAGCCTACCTTGATTTCAGCAAGGCATTTGACAAGGTGCCCCATGATATTCTTGTAAAGAAGCTGGTAAAATGTGGTCTTGACTATGCTACCACTCAGTGGATTTGTAACTGGCTGACTGACAGAACCCAAAGGGTGCTCATCAATGGTTCCTCTTCATCCTGGAGAAGAGTGACTAGTGGGGTGCCACAGGGTTCTGTCTTGGGCCCGGTCTTATTCAACATCTTTATCAACGACTTGGATGATGGACTCAAGGGCATCCTGATCAAATTTGCAGATGACACCAAACTGGGAGGGGTGGCAAACACCCCAGAGGACAGGATCACACTTCAAAACGACCTTGACAGTTTAGAGAACTGGGCAAAAACAAACAAGATGAATTTTAACAGGGAGAAATGTAAAGTATTGCACTTGGGCAAAAAAAATGAGAGGCACAAATACAAAATGGGGGACACCTGGCTTGAGAGCAGTACATGTGAAAAGGATCTAGGAGTCTTGGTTGACCACAAACTTGACATGAGCCAACAGTGTGACGCGGCAGCTAAAAAAGCCAATGCAATTCTAGGCTGCATCAATAGGAGTATAGCATCTAGATCAAGGGAAGTAATAGTGCCACTGTATTCTGCTCTGGTCAGACCTCACCTGGAGTACTGTGTCCAGTTCTGGGCACCACAATTCAAGAAGGACACTGACAAACTGGAACGTGTCCAGAGGAGGGCAACCAAAATGATCAAAGGCCTGGAAACGATGCCTTATGAGGAACGGCTAAGGGAGCTGGGCATGTTTAGCCTGGAGAAGAGGAGGTTAAGGGGTGATATGATAGCCATGTTCAAATATATAAAGGGATGTCACATAGAGGAGGGAGAAAGGTTGTTTTCTGCTGCTCCAGAGAAGCGGACACGGAGCAATGGATCCAAACTACAAGAAAGAAGATTCCACCTAAACATTAGGAAGAACTTCCTGACAGTAAGAGCTGTTTGACAGTGGAATTTGCTGCCAAGGAGTGTGGTGGAGTCTCCTTCTTTGGAGGTCTTTAAGCAGAGGCTTGACAACCATATGTCAGGAGTGCTCTGATGGTGTTTCCTGCTTGGCAGGGGGTTGGACTCGATGGCCCTTGTGGTCTCTTCCAACTCTATGATTCTATGATTCTATGAAGATGCTGGACTAGATGAGCCATTGGCCTGATGCAGCAGGCTTCTCTTATGTTCTTAAAGCTGTCTGTATCAGGTGCCTTACCCTTAAAATAAGTAAAGCAAAATAGGGGTTTTAACACTACTCCAGGAAGTTTTGGAAATATATTATACAGTACGACGGAGAATGGTTGCTGACCTGAGGAGAGACCATAGCTCAGTGGTAGGCCACCTGCACATGACAGGTGTTGGGAAAGACTTCTACTGGGGACCTTGAAGAGTCTCCACCAGCCACAGTACAGTGTTAGCGCTGCCAAGTATTGTTAGGAGACCCCTATTCCCCTCACAGAGCTAAAATTCCCAGAGCCCCTGGGAAAAGAAAATAACTGTTAAACCACTCTGAGAATTGTGGCTCTGTGAGGGGAATAAGAGTTTTCTAACAACTCTCAGCCCCCTTAATAACTACATTTCCCATCATTCTTTGGCAGGGAGGAAGCCATGATTGTCTAAATTTGGCCTCATTGAGGGGCAGTATTTCAATATGAGTAGGAAAATGAGAGTATCCCTAAACATTTTTTAAAGGGAAAAAACACTGCCCTCCAACATTCCTCATGAAAATAAGAACATTGCTCACCCCCCCACACCAATTGCCCTTAACCCCTCTTTTTTGGTCCCTGCCCCCACAGAGCATTTCCTATCAGAAGAATGGTGAGTGCCACCACCACAATACCAACTGGACACAGCTTACACGCTAACGCCCTGAGAAAACCCCTTATTCCTTTTTTATTTTGCTTTGGTAGATTTAAAAAGAAAAACACACACCAATAAATAAATTTTAGAAAGGGGCAAGATTAAATGTGGGTGCATAAAGCTTTAAAAAAATCTAGACTCTTTGCTCTCTGCTCTGCTTCCCCTTTTTTCCTGCCCGGGGTGGCCCTGTGCTCTGCCTGCTCCTCAGAGCCAGCACATCATGTGGGCCTGGGCCTCGGCAGCAGCAGCTTCTTCTCCTCACCTGCCCTCCAGCAGCCGCAATGAGCTGCCCAAGGGAGGAGGTAGGCAGCGGCGGCCATGGAGAGGCCATGGAGAGGCAACAGGATGCTCCCTCGTTTCCACTGCTGCTCAGGACAAGTGCTAGCTCCTCCTCGAGCTCAGCAGTGGCAGCACTGGTGGGGAAAATAGGGACATTCTGGGATCAAATCAGAAGCTAGGATGGCTTTCATAATTCCCCGTCTGTCCTTGGAAAATCAGGACACTCAGAGGGTATGGGAGTGAAGAAATGCTTCGACTGTATGACATAGTGGTGTGTGCATTCTCTCTCTCTCTCTCTCTCTCTCTCTCTCTCCACACACACCCCTGTGTGATGTCTGGGTTGTCTATTAGCCACACATATCTAATTATGTACCATTTCTAAGACAGAGCATGAGATAACTTCATGTTAAATTTCTCCTGCCTTCTTCCCATCCTAATTCTGATTTGAATCCATCTCCTTGAGATTGATGAGACAGAAGGGAATTGGGGTTTCTATAGGCTAAATGGGAACTTAAATGAAATCCTCCCTACCTCATAATAGGCCAGTATCCCCGCTTCTTTTGTGAAAGGACCAAGTGTCCCAGCACCAGATACTGGGGCTTCAACTCCAGTCAGCTTGGTAGAAAGGGTATAAGACCGGCCATAAGTGGGGATTCCCATGATGATCTTCTCAGCTGGGGCACCTATGCTGCGTAGATACTTCACAGCGTAGTCCTGAAGAAGGAAGAGTAGACTACAGTAGTTACTGCATACATTAGGTAGGACACTGAATGTTATTTCTAAACTTCTTTATTTATTATTTCAATTTATATCCCAGCCTTCATTCATGGTCCCAACATGGTTAACAACATAACACACCATTAAAACAATTAACAACTCAGATAAAATATACAAAATGACAATACGCCCTGCTCATACCCAGACCCATGATGAGGACAATTGATTTGAATGTTATTTATTTATCAGCAAAGCACTCGGTTATGTCAGCTCCTAAGTTGCAAGGGATATACACACCACTCCCCGCTAACTAGCTCTCTAGGCAATCTATCTCTGTAGACCTGTGTTCCATCTTGGACATTTGAGCAACAACATAGCCATGCCTCTTCCTGATTTCTTAAATGCCCTTGTCTGACATGGCCAACACAAGCACCCAATAGCTCCTCCTCAGTGACAGCTCCAGCTTCTCCTGTCACTTCAAGTCCCTCCTTGTGTATGGAGACAGTGGTGGGGAAGGATGGAGGCGATTCCAAAGGCACCACTCTCTCTGGACCCATCACAGGCTCTTCAGCTCCTCCAGCTCCCCACACATCACCGACCCCTTCCCCTAGATCTTCCTCCTCCCCGCTTGCCTCCTCTGCCCACACATTCTCTCAGCCCTCATGTTCCTGCCCATCCCTGACCCAAACGTAATGCAGCACCAGGATCAGTTTCTTTGTGACCCAGTAAAGTATTCCCAGCAAACGCTTGGCTGAAGAAGTGTGTTTTTAGCTGCTGCTGAAAAAGAAGCATTGATGGCACCAACCACACTTTGAGGGAGAACCAAAGTGTTATCCCAGAACAGGCCCTATCTTAAACTTCACCAATTGACAGGGTAAGAAGGACCTGACTGAACCACTCAAGATTCTAGCAGCTGTGTTTCCCCTTAGCTGGAGCTTCCAAGCTGTCTTCAAGGGTAACCCCATGAAGACCATATTACAGTAATCTACCAAGAGGTTACCAGAGCATAGATCACTGTGTCAGGGCTCTTATGATCCAGAAATGGCCATAGCTTACCAGACATAGCTGGAAAAGGACACTTTGAGCCACTGATGTCATTTAGACCTCCAAAGACAATGCTGGATCAAGGAGTACTCCTTAAGCTATGAAATGTTTCCTTCAAGTGAGGTTCTCCCCATGCTGAACAGGTCACCTTTCTAATTCCTAGACCTGCCTGTTCAGCACATGTTGCAGATCTGTTGCTATTATCTATGGGTTGCATGTGCCTTGGAAAAATGCAGGATCCTGAATACTAGGCTGTTTTAATACCAGACTGTTTTATTTGGGAAATCTGTCCCCTATCCATCTGCTTGAGTTAATCATCTGTTTAATGGGGGTAGAGGTGGATCTATCTTGTGCCAGTCATTAAATCAATGGATAGAGGGGGCAAAGTAAACAGAGCTCTACCACTGATATTTGGTTCAGAACCTTGTCCACCAGGCTAGCTTTACTATTGCTACAGTAAAGAAAACATGTGGCATTTTTTTTAAAAAAAAGCTTATGGAAAAGCCCTTTGAAATATTTAACAAAGTCCTTGGACTGACAACTTACAACATTGTAGTAGGATGCAGATCCACTGTCAGCTGTGCTCTTCTGAAGAGGGCTTAAATGGCCTGTGAAACTTTCCCAGGCGCCGTGAAAATCAAAGGTCATGAAGTTAATGAAATCAACATATCTAGAGAAAGAAGAACAAATGGTCACCCAAGATCCTTGGGGAATAACTACAGTTATCTTCAGTTTCTGTTAGGTTTAATAAATCTCACCCACACTTCCAGCCTTCCAGAATGGAAATCTATTTGTAGTTACTTACCATTTTGGAGCAAAACTGTGAGCTGACATTTTTTGGTCTCACCTCTACCTTACAACTGAAAAAGGCACTTTATGTTGAGGATTTTAAATTTCTGTTATTTAATGGGGGGGGCAGGGGGCGCTGGGTGCATTGCACTGCACTTCTTGGCCACTCTCCAAAGCTGTTGCCATGGGCAGCGGACACCTGTTTTTTAAGATAAAATTCGGGCTTAATTATCAGACATGCTCTGAGCTAGGGAAGATAAAGTACTCTGCTAACTGATTCAGCCACTGGGTGCCAAGGATTCGACCTGGAGAAGGACTTTTGTTGCAACTATCAGTATGTTGGGGAGGTGAGCCTCCATTACTTCCTTTTGATATATTTTGCATTTGCTGGTTTTTTTTGGCAAATCTCCCCCGAAGTACGGTTTGAAATAAGCAAGCAGGACTGAAAGAGTATCTTGCTATTATTATTGTTATGGTTTAACTACAAAATTGACTGTGTGCAATTTGGACTATGATTCTGGCAAAGACCTTTAATTGAATGATATAAAGAATTTACGATGGGAGCTGCGGTGTTTTTTACGGAAACATCAACTCATTAGCAGCTGGGAAAAGATTACAGGAGGGAATTTTAGATATCTGCCCGGCGCTAATGGCGAAGAGGCAACATCTCCTCTGGTCTTGGCTGTGACACAGTAAGAAATGCAGAAAGTGAAAGTGGATGAGAATGTTGGATTGCAGGACAATATTTCACACATAATTACAAAGGACTAATCCGCTTGTTTAAACGAACTCAGTGGATGTTAAAAATAAACAAAGGATCAACATTTGGAAATGTTTATCGGGATTATCTGACTAATTAAGGAATGCAGTAACAACATTAGATCATCACTCCCTGAACTTCAGAGCATGGGAAATCACCCAAAGATTTATAATTTGGAATTATTATTTGGCTGTTTTGTTGTATTATAATTTGGAATGTTTTATGTGGTTTTTACTGGATTGTTAAATTGGAAAACTTAATAAATATTATTTATGAAAGTAAATTACTGTTATTTATTAAATTTGTATACCACCCTTCTCAGGGTACACAAAGAAAGTTGTGCAAATAAGCCCTAAATCATCATTATAGCATCTGTTTGCTTGCCTGAACCATTTAAACTGGAACTAAAGAAATGTACTACTTGCTCACTGTAATTGCCCCAGCCAGTATGCTGTTCATTCTGTTTAATGTAGATTCTTTTTTTAAAAAAGTACTTACTCTGAGATCGTCTGAATATCATAACCTTTGTCAATGGCTTCCCTTCCAGCGGGTATTGCAACACTCAGTAAGAGTCTTTTCTGACCCCGCCTCCGAAATGCTACAGACAGATCCTAATGGGTGATGCAGAGGATTAATGCAGCTACTACTACTATGAATCTTACCCCTCCTTCACCATACCATCCCAGGGCAATTTTGTTATTGTAACTTGCCTTGGGATGTTATGGTGAATGAGGGGTAAGAAATAGAGCAGTACAACTTAAAACAGAATAACCAACCATTCACACCCCCACCCCAATCAGGTTAATTCCTAGTTTCCTAGTTTTCAAGTAGGTCACAAAAATAAATTTTGCCTGTCAAAAGCAAAGAGGTGCCTTTTCAGCTGAATAATGATGCTGTTAGATTGAATTGTGTAGGGAGGGAGTTTTACAATTGGGGGCTACCACAGAGAAGTCTCTCTCCTGGCCTGCCACTCCTCAGACATCTGAGGATTTATCCACAGTTATCTTCTACCCCACATTTTCAAGGCACCAATCCACATTTTCCCATTCTGTATCCAAGTGCTTTTTCCCCTTTGCCCCATATCTTTCCCCAGAAAAACCTAATCTTTAAAGCTGAATTGAAGCAAATGGCTTTTCATTTTTTCTGTAGATTGCTGTTTGTGCCAATTCAGTGGTAAAGAGCGGGGTTTTGCAGAGAAAGCGGTGGAGCAAAAACAAAACAAAGACATAGTCAAAACAGAAATCATAAGTTATTATTTGTAATTCCTTCCCATCACTGTCTTTTGAATCAATTTCTTTGTTAAATGTATTTGCCTAAGGATGATTTGTATTTTGCTTTACCTTAACCAGGCTAGTCAAACGGCTTTTATCAGACAGTTCTGCTAAGGGCCAAGCAAGATCAAAGCCATCAAAGTTATTTGTCCGAAGCAACTGCAACACAGACATCGCAAATTCTGAGCGTGTGGCAGGAGATGCAGTTATTCTTCTAAAGCTATTACAGACAGGAGACAAAAACGTAGAGGGATTCTTGATTACTTTGTATTTTTCATAGAAATAAAGTGAAGCCATTATTATTATTTTTTACAGTAGATGATTGAAGTATTCCACAATAACTGGAAAAAAAGTTTCCACGGGCAGAGAAGTATTCATACTGAAAGTATCACTCCCTCCAATAGAAAACTCAGTACACCATGCCAACAGAAATGGACCACTGGAAAACAAAAGGGAGCCAACAGAAGGGTTGGAAAAACTTGTTGATGACCAGGGCTGTCTTTACCCGGTGGTGCAAGGGGTGCGGGGCACCCGGGTGCTTAATTCTGGAGGGTGCCAAATGTATACCTACTGTATACCTGTCCCTCTCGATTGGCGGCAGTGAAAAGCAATGGAGCTGTCAGGTGGCTGTTGCGGTTGCTTGAGAGTAACCAGGCAGGACCTGTGTTTTACAGGCTTTATTTTGGTGCAAACTATTTACAGTGAAGAGCCCCAAAGCTCATGTCTGGCTCAATCGCTAGCAGAATCCAGGAGTGGTCTTTTTTTGGACCTCCCCCAACATAAGAGTTTCATTACCCCCAACCGTCTCCGCCCCTCTCTGAGCCTCAGACTACTGCGCAGGATGGGCGATGGCAAGGGCGTGTTTCCCTCCTGTCCGGCTTGCCCAGGAGCAGTGTTAAGGCTCCTACCGGCATCCTCTGGTCCTTGCACCTCTTCCCCACTGGGCTTTCCTCCTCCCCAGAAGAGGAACTGCTTCACAAGATTTTCAGAGGCTCCCTGTAACACAACTGCCCTTCTATTTCTCGCCTCTGAGTCGATGGCAGTTCCCTGACAGGAGCGAAAGTGTCTCTCTCTCTCCCCCCCCACCCCTGTTGCTCTGCTGCTCCATAGCATCAAATATCACCAGCGAGTCAGGAAACAAAAGCAATTTATTCTGCTGCGTCATTGTTGCAGGTGAGTGATTTCCCCCCTTAAAAAAGGTCAGCAACTTTGGCTTCCCCCCAAAAAAAAGCTCAATAAAAATTAATTTGGGGGTGCTGGGAGGATCTTTGCACCCCGGCAGTGCATATGCTAAAGACAGCCCTGGTGATGACTATAGAAAAACAAGAAAGCAAATTGGGAAGGTGAATTGGCCTGTGTTGGTCCTTTTACAGCTCACAGTATATATTGGAGGGCTTGACTGGCTGGAGCACTGGAAAGCAGCACTCTTGTTAAAGGAAGAAGATACACATTTTGTTGCAGGTCCCACTTGCTGAGATGAATTGTAATCTAAAATCCAAGAGAAGAATGGTTCACTGTGCAACTTTATACACCAGGGTTTGCCCATGCTCACCCTCCCACTGGAGGTGTCAAGAAGCATTAGGCTGTCTCACAGTTAGACAGGGAGAAATGTGGAAATAGCCAGGCTCTGACCATCACCAATAATGTTCAGAGAGAGAGTTTACAGCAAAGTGTCAACCCCACTTCTGGGAAGTATACTTGCTATACTGAAAGGACAGGCCACTTTGGAAGAGAAACCTTTGGCTTTTTCCCACTTATGATTTTTACTGGCATAAGCAAAAATTAAGTTCAGTGGTACCTCAGAAGTTGAACGGAATCCATTCCGAAAGTCTGTTCAACTTCCAAAATGTTTGGAAACCAAGGCATGGCTTCCGATTGGCTGCAGGAAGCTCCTGCAGCCAATCGGAAGCCACAGAAGTGGGTTCCAAAGAACGTTTGCAAACCAGAACACTCACTTCTGGGTTTGCGGCATTCGGGATCCAAAACGTTCAACTCGCAAGGCATTCGGGATCCAAGGTACGACTGTAAACAGATAGCTCTAGACTTACGGTTCAGGTCCCATGAGAGCTCCACCAACAGAGAGAAGGGTCTTCAAGTTGCGATTTCTAAAGAAGAAAAGAGTGAATAAAATAAAAAGTATTAGGATATTTTAAAAAAATGATTTCAGCAAAGCAGAAGTCAACTTTGGGTTTTTTATAGCACAGAACATCATCCAGAGTTTTACATGTGCACAGTTAATTAATTTTCTCTGGTTTGTGCAGAAGGGGAGGGGAGACTGGCACTAGGCCAAGCATTCTGAGTAATAGGCTGTATGGAATACTCAGAGCATTTGATACACTTGGAAGTAGCATATTTTTCACCATCCCTCATTTAGTACTACCAAAGCAGTGATGAGTACTTTAAATAATTGTTTCAGCTGATGAACAGCTGGAGAGGTTAAAGTTGTGTCCCTTGATACACTCCTCTTCTGCTCAGAAACAACCTGCCAGAGACTGCTTCAAGGCTTTTGCTTTAAAAAAGTTTGAGAAAGAATAATACAACTCAACACAATGTGATATTTGAACCCCAAATATCCATCAACCTGTGAAGTTAGTTAAGTAAATGAGGCCTCTCCTTCCACAGTGGTTTAATTATCAGCATTACTGATTCCATTGCTGGTGGCAAGTGAAGTGGCTTGCACTGAGGAAACAGTCAAGGCACTTGGTGCCTTGCAAGAGATAGAGTCTGGGGTCCACACCGCTTGCTACATAATACAATGGTACCTCGGGTTACATACACTTCAGGTTATATATGCTTCAGGTTACAGACTCCGCTAACCCAGAAATATTACCTCGGGTTAAGAACTTTGCTTCAGGATGAGAACAGAAATTGTGCTCCGGCAGTGCGGAGGCAGCAGGAGGCCCCATTAGCTAAAGTGGTGCTTCAGGTTAAGAACAGTTTCAGGTTAAGAATGGACCTCCAGAACAAATTAAGTAGTTAACCCGAGGTACCACTGTACTTGGGTTTTACCCTTCTGAAAACAGTGAACACTAGCTACTGCTGGGGAGGCAATTAGGATTGGAATCATGGTGGATATGGTATAACCTACCTGCCATGGTTATACCAAGAACAGTCCCAAAGCTTTCATTTTTGAGGATGAAAGTTTCCATTGGCTCCAATGAGAGCTTCATTTTAGATACAAAATCAGGGGCTAATTATCACTGGGACCATGGTGGAGGGGAAGGGTTAAACAAGCCATGCCCAGGCACACACCATGTTTCTGATCACCATCCCCGGTGACTATTTATTATTGTAAAACATACATATGAGGTGAAGTTACATCTCCATATGTAGTTTGACCCAAGGCCCACTCACTCCCTGCAAGAGAAGTCCCAGCTAGGCTCAGCGTGGGCTGTGTCAACAATAGAGGATGCTGTGGAGGTAGGGTCCCTTTTGTGTTTCATGTTTCATTATTTGCTTGCAGGAGACACATGTGACTAGGCTCCACAGAAAAGTATTAGTCAATAAAAGATTAGGCCAAGAATTTATTTCATCAGATCGAGTTAAAAAGAGAGGGGTGGTGATTTACGCTAAGGAGAGCCTGTCACCAAAATTTCTTTTTAAAGATGAGCAAGGGAGAATTTTGGCAATTGAAATTCAAGCGCAAGGCGAAAAGTTTTTGATATTAGGCATTTATGCACCAAATGAGGGGAAATCGGAATTTTACAAGAAGCTGCATGAGACAATGCTGGACTATCTGGACTATAGTAACATCATTATGATGGGAGATATGAACGGGGTGGTGTCCACAAATATGGATAAGTCACAAAATCAAAATGTTTCAAACGATTGCAGATTACCCAAAACCTTTTTTTGAATTGACTGACAATATGGATTTAATTGACATTTGGAGATCAAAAAACCCTCTAGGAAGAGAAGGAACATTCTTTTCTGAAGCCCATCTGACATGGACAAGAATCGACCAAATCTGGGTGACTAGAGGTCTGGCACCTAAGACTAGGAAAGTGGAAATCTGCCCAAAGACTTGCTCCGACCATAACGCAGTAAAGATGGATATGACACTAACTACAACCGGCTCCTTTAGATGGAGGATGAATGACAACCTACTTAGAGATCAGGAGATCATTAAAAAGGCCCAAAAAGCTTTGAAGGACTATTTTGAAATAAATTTGAACACCACGGTGGAAAAAAGAATAATCTGGGACGCAAGTAAAGCTGTAATGAGGGGGTTTCTGATACAACAGAACACTATAAAGAAAAGAGCACAGAATGAGAAAAAGGATAAGATCCTGGAGAGAATTAGGGAATGTGAGAAAAAGCTAAGATCGAAACCGAAGTCACAGGAGATTCTGAGAGAAATTAAACTTTATCAGACACAATATTCTAAATTGATAAATCAGGAGGTGGAGTGGAAAATTAAGTTATATGATTAGAGGGGACCGGTTGGTGGAAGGGATTCAGGTCGGAGCCAAACAGTACAAACTTAAAGCCTTTGCAGATGACCTGGTTTTGACATTGCAGGAACCAGACTCTAGTACGAAAAGAGTTCTAGAACTGATTCAAGAGTTTGGTCGGTTGGCGGGTTTTAAATTAAACAAGCAGAAGACAAAGGTTTTGGGAAAAAATTTGACAACTGAGGAATTAGAAAGGTTTCAGAAAGAGACAGATTTAAAAATTGTTAAGAAGGTGAAATACCTAGGGGTTAATATGACTTCTAAAAATTTGAATCTATTTAAGGATAATTATGAAAAGTGTTGGACAGAAATTAAGAAGGATTTAGAAACTTGGTCAAGACTGAAACTCTCCTTGTTGGGCCGAATTGCTGCGATAAAAATGAATGTATTGCCAAGGATGTTATTTTTGTTTCAGACCCTACAGATCGTGGACAGAGTGGAATGTTTTACAAAATGGCAGAGAGATATCTCTAAGTTTGTCTGGCAGGGCAAAAAGCCCCGAATAAAATTTAAAATACTAACTGATGCTAAAGAGAGAGGGGGATTTGCCCTGCCAGATTTGAGGCTGTATTATGAATCTGCAGCTTTCTGCTGGTTGAAGGATTGGCTTCTCCTCGAGAACACTGATGTCCTAGATCTGGAAGGGTTTAATAATGCTTTTGGATGGCACGCATATTTGTGGTACGACAAGGTAAAAATTCACAAAGCTTTTAAAAACCATATTGTCAGGAAAGCTGTGTTTAATGTCTGGGCAAAATACAAAGACTTACTAGAAAACAAGACCCCAAGGTGGCTGTCATCAATGGAAGCCAAGGCCCCGAAAAGACTCAATATGGAGGCCAATTGGCCGAAATATTGGGAGATAATAGAAAAAGAAGGGGATACTTGGAGATTGCAGAGTTTTGAGAAATTAAAGGGTAAAGTGCGAGATTGGTTACATTATGCTCAGATCAAGGAGATCTTTAACTTAGACAAAAAAACAGGTTTCCAGGTGGAAAAATCGAAACTAGAAACAGAACTGTTAGAACCTAAGACCAAGGTACTTTCTAAAATGTATAACTTGCTGTTGAAATGGAATACGCAGGATGAAACTGTCAAATCAGCTATGATAAAATGGGCACAGGACATTGGGTATAATATTATGTTTGCTGACTGGGAAAAGTTATGGACCACCGGAGTGAGGTTCACGGCATGTAATGCCTTGAAAGAAAACATTATGAAAATGATATATAGGTGGTACATGACCCCAGTCAAGCTGGCAAAAATATATCATTTGCCCGATAACAAATGTTGGAAATGTAAAGAAGCTGAAGGAACATTCTTTCACCTTTGGTGGACGTGCCCAAGGGTTAAGGCTTTCTGGGAAAGGATTTATAATGAACTAAAAAAGGTATTTAAGTATACCTTCCCTAAGAAACCAGAGGCCTTCCTTCTGGGCATTGTCGGCCAAGGGGTGCTAAAGAGGGATAGAACTTTCTTTATGTACACAACAACAGCAGCAAGAATACTCATCGCAAAGTACTGGAAGACACAGGATTTGCCCACTCTGGAAGAATGGCAGACGCAACTGATAGACTACATGGAACTGGCTGAAATGACTGGCAGAATTCGAGACCTGGGAGAAGAGACGGTGGAAGAGGATTGGGAAAAATTTAAAGATTATTTACAAAAACACTACAAATTGTATGAATGCTAGGAGAATGCACGATTGAAAGAAACATGGCAGCAGCAAAATTATTGTAAGATATATGAGAATATGTGACGTCTAAGGTAATGCTGAAATTTGAAGCAATATTTTGTTCAATATAAGCAGTTTAATTTATGACCAATATATTCTAAAGCCGAAATTGAATATTTGAGTTCTATAAAATAAGAATGGAAGTAAGGTAACAAATTGCTGCATATAACTACATGGTCGGGAATGCAGGGAAGGGTGATGTGAGGAAGTCCAAAGTTTATGAAAATAGGATTTATGAATATTTCTATTTTATCTGTATTTTCTTTCTATATTCTTACTTTTTCTTATAATCTTACTTTCTTGTTTCTTATGTGTTTGATGTTATTCTTGTTGTTTAAAAAATGCCAATAAATATTTTATTAAAAAAAAAAATCACTGGGACCATGGTGGAGGGGAAGGGTTAAACAAGCCATGCCCAGGCACACACCATGTTTCTGATCACCATCCCCGGTGACTATTTATTATTGTAAAACATACATATGAGGTGAAGTTACATCTCCATATGTAGTTTGACCCAAGGCCCACTCACTCCCTGCAAGAGAAGTCCCAGCTAGGCTCAGCGTGGGCTGTGTCAACAATAGAGGATGCTGTGGAGGTAGGGTCCCCTTTGTGTTTCATGTTTTGCGTGTGCCTTCTTATGTTACCCACCTTTTAAGCTGATTGAGAGTCCCATATGTAGTGGCATCATTCCATTCACCGGGCTCGAGCTGGTTGCCACTTATTTTGGCGAAAGCATAAATGATGTGGGTGCAGAGATTTGGATCAATCTGATCAGCGACAAAACGCCCTGAAGTTTCCCGGTACTGGGACCAGCTGGTGAAATAGCAAACCAGCTTAGAGGTAGAAACTGTTAAGATAATTAGGAGAGATAATTTTTTAAAAAGGAGTTAGTTCCCTTCCAGATAGAGATGTAAGAAAGCATCGCTTTCCGCTGCCACCTGTGTCCATTGCATGCAGTGCTCCTTCCATTCCTTTGTTCTTGGGCTTCTTCTGACGAAACTTACATTATTTGTCTTGCTGTCCACTGTGGTGGAATTTCACATCGTTAATTACGTTGTCATTGTTTTGATCCATACCATTCAACTCAATGGAAAGGCAGTGCAATACAAACTGGGGTGGGGAGTGATCAATTATGGATTGCTTGCAGACTGAAGACAACAGTGAATACTGATTCTTTTCACTAGATTGATTCTGTTCTGGACATGGGATGAACAAGCAAACACCAGCAATTTCCACTGGCATTTGCACTAGAATTCTCCAACAGCCGTACTTCAAAATGACCTTTTCATTCACCCTGACAGTGGTGGACATTAGGTTCTCAAATCTCAGCAGCACCCTGCGTGACGCTAAAATTCAGTGCTCCCCGCCTCTCACTCTCCATTCTACGGCATTGTTGTGGCACCTCCTGCTGTGCCACTACCCTGCTCACACCACCCGAAACCCGCCACTGATTCTGATTTGTTTGCATAAAGTTTGTGGGGAGGTTAGAGGATGTCAGCTCTTCCCTGAGCACCCATACTGATTTGTTTGCAGGGGTATTATATGATGTTGCATCAAGCAATTGTTATCTCACAATCTTCGGGGAATTTCCCTTTCACAGAGAGTCCATTTCACAGAGAGTCAGTGCACCAAACCAACTTTAATTATGCAACTTGTATTTGTCTGTATGCACTTGAATCCCACCCATAACTAATGGCAGTCTGGACACACCCTTAGTCAAATAATATGTAGTCAAATAATATGTAGGAACCTGCCACAAAAGGGCAAAATGCAGGACCTCCGATTGCTTGGGCAGTTGGTACATATGTAGACTCACTTCACACAGCCTGCAACTATATCAGGAGTAGGGCTTACAGATGTGCTCCTTCCTTCCTAACCTCTCCCTGCCCCACTGCATCTCCATTTAGTAATTTTGCGCACATCACAAATAAAACATTGATTCAGACCCTTCCAGGGGAGGGGGAAAGTGTTGGGGCACTTTCAGACATCCTGGGATACCTGTTCAGTGGCCAATGCCCCATCATGGAGAGCTTCCCTCATTACCAACCCTTGTAGAATGATTGGAATGAGGGAATGTGAGCATATTAGAACCCTTGATGCTTTTGAATTATGGTGCTGGAGGAGACTCTTGAGAGTCCCATGGACTGCAAGAAGATCAAACGCATCCATTCTTAAGGAAATCAGCCCTGAGTGGTCACTGGAAGGACAGATTATGAAGCTGAGGCTCCAATACTTTGGCCACCTCATGAGAAGAGAAGACTCCCTGGAAAAGACCCTGATGTTGGGAAAGATGGAGGGCACAAGGAGAAGGGGATGACAGAGGACGAGATGGTTGGACAGTGTTCTCGAAGCCACAAACATGGGACTTCCGGTCGGCGCCAGTGTTTAATGGCGGTCCTTGCCTCGAGCTCCGAGGGAGGACTGCTCCGCAAGTTCGGGTCTGACCCGCTACGGCGAGCGGGGGACCCTTAAAATTACAGGCGCTGAAGCCTGTAAGCAAGGAGACTCGGCGGGCACCTTTTGCGCCCCCCGGTACTGTGAAAGAGCCTTTTTAAAGGCTACGGAGCGGCATCGGGAGTGAGCGCGGTGCTGAGAGTCGTTACCCAGCCTGCGGAGTGAAGCCGCGTCGCCATTGAACAGAGAGCGCCGATTCCTTCCTGAAATTAAAATTGGACTACAAATACCCGTGAGTAAGATTGACAGACGGAAAAGGGACATTTAAAGAGGAATTTTAAAATTTGGCTGAAAACGGGAAAGGCATAAAGTAAGGAAGTCTGCCTCCCCGGACTGCATGTAAATAAAGCAACGAAAGGATAAAGCTGCATTTAAATGAAGGTTAACTCTTGAACTGTTTAAAACCTGACATCGGACTTAAACTTCCCCCCAGGAAGCAGGAGAGGGGGGGAGTAAGATTGGAAATTTATAATTCCTGCTTGAGAGAACGGAGGAAAGAGATCTTCCACTGTCAAAACCCTGAGTCGGGCTGCCGGAGCACCGGGCAACTGAACTGTCAATTTAAACTGGTTACAAAGTTGGGGTCTTGACTGAGACAAAGTTACAAGACTTTAAGGGAGTTATTTTGTGAACATCTGAGGACATTGAAACTGTAAAAAGTGTTCTGACTGTGAACTTTTGGACTCTGTTGTTTGGATTCTTTGTTTTTTACTTTGTCAGTTTCTGACTTTCTAAACTGGATACAACTAAATGCTCCCTCTAGAGGACTTAAAGAAAATTTGTTACTGTGAGAAGGGAAGAGTGGAATTTTTCCACTTCTAAGCCTTTCCTGTGAGAATTGACCTTGAGGACATGAGTAGTCAACCAGATGAGATAACAACTAGATCTAAAGCAAAACAAACTCAGCAAACTCAAAAGAAAAGGGGCTCGATGCAAGGCACAACACCAGCTGGACAGGAAAAAGCACCAACAGCATCTATGGAGTCAATGACACAGGCATTGCTTAAGATAAATCAGTCTTTGGAAGCACTGACAAAGCAGTCAGTGGAGAATACAAAAAATTGAATGACCTGACAACAAGATTGGACTTGAACACGGCAAGCGTAGCCTCTAATACAGATTCTATAAATAAACTTATTCAAGAAAATTCTGAAACAAGAAAAATAGCTCAAAGTGCAAAAGACACAGCAGAAGAAACTAAGAGGGAGCTCGCACCAATCACAAAAAAGGTGAATGAACACGACGCAACTTTGTCTTTGTGGGAACTTCAGAGAAAGGAGAAAAATCTTAAATTAAGATCAGTTCCAGAGGAGGAGAAAGACAGTCTTGTAGAATTCCTCACAGAAAATATTTTGGAATTTTGGCAGGACGAATTTCAGGAGGAAGAATTTGAAATAACAACGGCCTTCCGGTTGGGCAGAAGGCAAGGCAAGAAGCCTAGGGATTGTCTGATTACACTGAGATCTAAAGAAGAAAGAGATAAAATACTAAATCTACACTACCAAAAGGCTCTAGTAATCCAGAACTGTCAAGTTCAGATCTTTAAAGACATCCCTAAATACATTTTGGAGGTGAGGGCCTTCTATAAAGATCTGGTTTACCTTCTGAAGAAGAACAGCATACCTTTCAGGTGGGAGTTCCCACAAGGACTGTCCTTTAACTATACAGGAAGGAAAATTAAGATAAAAACAGTTCAAGACAAAGAATTGTTTTTGGAAAGAAACCTGGAAGACCTACAGAAAGGAACAGTAGACATAACAGTACAGAAAGAACCGACAGATATTGCAAACCTTTCATTTGGACTTTTACCTCCATCAGAGGAGGAACAAAAACTTGGAGCAGTTGGAGGAGTAGGCACATAGTACCAAAATGTCTCTGCAACTTCTTAGCTGGAATTGTAATGGTCTTAACCTCCCCAGGAAGAGACGCCAAGTCTTCCACATTTTGAAAAGAGAGCAATTGGACATAATTTGTTTACAAGAAACGCATGTGACCAGGACACATAGGAAACTACTTATAAATAAGAGGCTTGGACAAGAATTCATTTCATCAGACAAAGTTAAAAAAAGAGGTGTTGTGATTTATGCAAAAGAAAGATTGGCTCCTAAAATGATCTTTAAGGACGAACAAGGAAGATACCTGGCAATAGAAATACAAGTTCAAGGAGAAAAAATTATGATATTGGGAATATATGCACCAAATGAGGGGAAGGCGGAATTCTTCAAGAAGTTGCATGAGACTTTAATGGACTATCTGGACAGTAAAATTATAATGATGGGAGACATGAATGGTGTTGTCTCCACCAACATGGATAAGGCACAGAGACAGATAATCTCCAACGATGGAAGACTTCCAAAGACCTTTTTTGAAATGACTGAAACATTGGATTTGATTGACATTTGGAGAGTAAAGAACCCCCTGGAGAGGGAGGGAACCTTTTTCTCTGAAGCAAAAATGACCTGGACAAGGATCGACCAAATTTGGGTAACTAGTTGTATGGCACCGAAGGTAAAAAAAGCAGAAATCTGCCCCAAGACTTGCTCCGACCACAACGCAGTGAAGATAGAGATGAAACTAACAACAACTGGAACCTTCAGATGGAGGATGAATGACGCCCTATTTAGAGACGAAGAGATTTACAAGAAGGCCCAAAAAGCATTGAAAGATTATTTTGAGATAAATTTGAGAACTGATGTGGAAAAAAGAATAATTTGGGACGCTAGCAAGGCCGTGATGCGAGGTTTCCTAATACAACAAAACTCCATAAAGAGGAAAAAACAGAATGAGAGAAAAGAAAATCTTTTGGAAAAGATAAAAGAAGCCGAAAAGAAATTGAGGTCTAAACCAAAGTCTCATGAGATTTTGAGAGAAATAAAGTATTATCAGACACAATATATGGAACTGATGAATCAAGAGATAGAATGGAAGATAAAACAAATGAGACAAAGAACATTTGAATCAGCAGACAAATGTGGGAAACTCCTGTCATGGCAATTGAAAAAGAGACAAAAGTTGAATACTGTGACAAGTTTGGAAATGGAAGGAAAAATTATCCACAAACCAAATGAGATAAATAACTGTTTTCAAAGCTTCTTCAGGAAACTATATGCACAAGGGCCGGTTAATGAGCAGGAAATAGAAGAATTTATTAAAAAGTATGGACTACCAAAGATTTCAGACCAGAGTAAAAGGATTTTGAATGAGAAAATAACAGGACAAGAAATAGAGGACGCCATTCAGAAGATGAAATTGGGAAAATCTCCAGGCCCAGATGGTTTGACTGCTAGATATTACAAGGCACTGAAGGAATGGATAATACAACCATTGAAGGAAGTTTGTAATGAAATTTTGGAAGGGAAAAAGGCACCCGAATCGTGGAAAGAAGCTTTTATTTCACTTATACCGAAAACAGAGACTGAAAAGAATCAGGTCAAAAACTACCGCCCTATATCATTACTCAATGTGGATTACAAAATTTTTGCAGACATTTTAGCAAAAAGACTGAAGAGAGTTTTGGTGCAGGAGATTCATAAGGACCAAGCAGGCTTTCTCCCAGGGAGACATATGTCAGATAATGTAAGGAACATTATAGACATTTTAGAGTTGCTGGAAGTAAAGATTAATAGAAAAGCAGTTATAATTTTTGTGGACGCGGAGAAAGCCTTTGACAATATTTGTTGGACCTTTATGAAGAAGAATCTTCAAGGGATGGGGGTAGGCCAAGGATTTGAAAACGGTATAGGTGCTATATACTCTAAGCAAAAAGCAAAGTTGATTGTTAACAATGTGGTAACGGAAGAGATTCCTATAGAAAAAGGTACACGACAGGGATGCCCAATATCACCCTTACTTTTCATAACAGTCCTGGAGGTTTTGCTGAACATGATTAGAGGGGACCAATTGGTTAAAGGTGTTGAGCTCGGAGCAAAAGACTATAAATTAAGGGCATTTGCAGATGATTTGGTATTGACTTTGCAACAGCCAGAGACTAGTACTAAAAGAGTCTTAGAATTAATTGAGAAATTTGGTCAAGTAGCAGGATTTAAATTGAACATGCAAAAAACCAAAGTGTTGGAGAAAAATTTAACAATGGCGGAAAAAGAGAAGTTTCAGAGTGAAACAGGTTTAACAATAACAAAAAAGGTGAAATACCTGGGTGTGAACTTGACTTCTAAAAATGTAAATTTATTTAAAGACAATTATGAAAAATGTTGGACAGAGGTGAAGAAAGATCTAGAAATATGGTCAAGGCTGAGACTTTCCTTGTTAGGCCGAATTGCTGTCATTAAGATGAATGTACTGCCTAGAATGTTGTTTTTGTTTCAGACACTCCAGATCTTGGATAAGATGGATTGTTTCAAGAGGTGGCAAAAAGACATATCAAAATTTGTCTGGCAGGGCAAAAAGCCCAGAATAAACTTTAAGATTTTAACTGATGCAAAAGTCAGAGGGGGTTTTGCCCTGCCGGACTTGAGACTTTATTATGAATCGGCAGCTTTGTGCTGGCTGAAACAATGGCTACTTCTTGAGAATACAGATATTTTGGATCTGGAAGGGTATGACAATAGACATGGTTGGCATGCATATATATGGTATGACAAGGTAAAATCGCATAAAGGCTTTAAAAACCATATTGTGAGGAAAGCACTGTATAATGTTTGGATAAGATATAAGGATTTGCTGGAAAGTAAAACCCCTAGGTGGTTATCACCAATGGAGGCTAAAGAGGTAAAAAAACTAAATATGGAGTCCAAATGGCCAAAGTATTGTGAAATTTTAGAACAAGATGGTGAAAGAGTTAAATTGCAGAGTTTCGATAAATTAAAGTCTAAGGTACGAGATTGGTTGCACTACCATCAGATAAACGAGGTATTTAAACAGGACAGGAAAATAGGTTTCCAGATGGAGAGGTCGAAATTAGAAACAGAATTGCTAGAACCCAATACTAAGAACCTGTCGAGAATGTACAATTTGCTGCTGAAGTGGAATACACAAGATGAAACAGTAAAATCAGCCATGATCAAATGGGCACAAGACATAGGTCATGACATAATGTTTGATGATTGGGAACAGTTATGGAATACAGGTATTAAGTTTACAGCTTGTAATGCATTGAGAGAGAATATAATGAAAATGATCTATAGGTGGTACATGACCCCAGTCAAACTTGCAAAAATTTACCATTTGCCCAGTAACAAATGTTGGAAATGTAATGAGACTGAAGGTACCTTCTATCACCTTTGGTGGACCTGCCCGAAGGTAAAGGCCTACTGGGAAATGATCTATAATGAAATTAAAAAAGTCCTTAAATGGACATTTTTGAAAAAACCAGAGGCCTTTCTCCTGGGCATGGTGGGCCAATTGGTGCCAAGGAAGGATAGAACATTCTTTATGTATGCTACCACAGCGGCAAGAATTCTTCTGGCAAAGTATTGGAAGACGCAGCAACTACCCACTCTGGAAGAATGGCAAGCGAAGGTGATCGAGTACATGGGAATGGCAGAGATGACCGGCAGAATCCGTGACCAGGGGAGTGAGACGGTGGAAGAAGATTGGAAGAAATTTAAAAAATATCTTAAAGACTGTTGTAAGATTGACGATGGCTGAGATGCTATGGTTATAAGAAATAGAGATTTGCAGCTGTAAATCATAACTTTAAAGAATGTAAAATGAAAATGAGCGAATTAATTGAACTAAGGGTTGCTGAGAAAGGGCTAACATAAGGATGCAGAAAAAGGGAGGTATGGGGAAGTCCGGGAAATAAGGTGTATGAAAATAAGTTTAAGAAATTATACGTGTTTATTTGTTTGTATGTTTTGTATTGTTTTGTTTTATTTTCTGTTTTATATATGTTTGGAAAATTAATAAAAATTATTATAAAAAAAAAAAAGAAGCCACAAACATGAGTCTGACCAAACTGCGGGAGGCAGTGGAAGACAGGAGTGCCTGGCGTGCTCTGGTCCATGGGGTCAAGAAGAGTCGGACACGACTAAACGACTAAACAACAGAGACTGACACAAGGAATTTCCAACCCCAGAGTGATTTCTGAAAGCCAAGAAAAGAGGAAAAAATAACTTACCAGACTGCAGAAAGATCAGCGCAGTGATGCTTACTGCAAAAAGTCAAGAGGAGAAAGTCATGTTATGACAAGACTAGACCTGCTATAAATGCCATATGATCACTACCTTTTTCAAATTCTTGAATGTTCAAAGTCATGCACTTTGATTAATAAAACTACTCAAATCATGAGCATGATTACCTTAGGCAGAGAGGGATTTAAAACTTGCTTAGATGGTTAGCTACATGGGATTTCCCCACACAGCAATATGGGCTTTTCTGTATTGCCCATGAAATTTTAAAAGGTACATAACCATAAACGTTCAAAATAGTATTCAGTTACCCTCTCCATAACTTGTACCCAATTAGCAACATCAACAACATGCAATCGGTCACTGCTGTCCTGCCAAAGCAAATCCTTGGAACTCCAGCTGGAGAAAGCCCAGGATAGTCTCCAATCCTAACCTTCAATCACATTGCCAAACTCACCAGCCCACACGGAAACCTGGCCCATCCTGGCTGCTGTACCACAATGACAACGCTGCTTTCTTTACAATCGTGCTTCCACACCGCTGATCCCAACCTTTTAAAAATAAAATTAGAAGAGGAAGTGAAGGCATGTAACAAGTGTGTGGCTTTCACACACTTGAGTGAAAATGTCCTCATTTCTGTTCCTGGAATGATTGTGAAATTGTCTAGCCAGGAAGTGTTGCAATCAGGACTGTGGAATTTTTATTTTTCACAACATGCTGGTTGAAGCTGACATAATGGGAAAACCAAACCAAAACAAGTTTAATACCCTTTCCTATCTGTTCCAGATTGCTTGATTAGCACATTTTAAATCTTGACACAGGACCAGGTTTATCCAAAATACCTCGGCCCTGTTCACTTGTTACAGTTCACATCAACGCATGGGTGGAAAGTGGACTGTGCCAGCTAGTCCCACTGCTACCACTCGCCTGACCAACCATGCCCCTGACACCTGCATGTTGACATGGACATCAGCAAAGGGGACACGTGTGCTATACATTGTTTAGCTCCATGTATGAAGGTTTTCAGGTCATGGGTTCCAAATTGTGTGGAAGCCTTTGCATACACAACTGTACACATGAAGCTTTCCCCTTTGCAAATGTCTGTGGCTAACATATTGTTAGATGCCACCCCATATCTCCGAGCGATGCGAGATTCCAGGGGTTCCAGGTACTTACCCAAGTTTTGTGTCTCCTTCAGAAATTAGGCACAACAAAGACTGTGATGTCTTTATGGTATATGGTTTGTTGTTGTTGTTTTTTACATATATACAACCTGCACCTAGATGGAGGGATTGCAGAGCATCCTGGCTTCCCTCCTAAGGGCAGCATTGGAGTCAAAGAACAGCAAAAAGCCACTCTCTGTGTCTCTTAGTACTAGCCTGTCAGCCCCAGCTCACATGGAGTTTTGCCCCTCCTTCTCCTTCTTGCTGCTAACTGACTCCAAGGACCTCCTCACAGCCTGCTTCATTCAAAGCTGAAACCCTAAACCTGGCCTTTGCCTCTGCCCACTAGCACCCAGCATAGGAGGAGTCCCACTACTATTTGCCTGGCTGTCTTGCCCTCTGGTGGTTTCCTTGATGGGGCATCACCAGCTTTTGTCCCCTGCTAGGGGACCATCCAGCTAACTCTCCTGAGCTGGCTTGGCTTGTTAGCATAACTAAATCCAGGGGATTCTCTGTTTGGCAATGTTTAATCAAACCATTATTCAATCAAACTTTTACTAAATCCAGGCACAAACCCATAACATCATGGAGTTCAAGAAGGACAAAGCTGGGGGGGGGAAGTGCAGTGGCAGGGGTGTCTCTAGGTGTAAGAAGAACCCACACTTGCATGGATTGAACATTTGAGCACTAATAAGTGAACTGGGGCTATAGTTACACATTGATTTATAGAGCATTCAGATATCGGTTTCCGGTGCTGATCAGCTTAACATCCCAAAAGCACTGATCAGGTACACTTGGATCTCATCACAAGAAAAAGAGCACACCAAATAGTTTTGAAGACTATCCTCCATTTTTGTTTGCTGTGATGTGTGAGCTAGGCATGTACTGTATATATGACCAACCTGTGCTGTTGTCATTCCTGGTATTCATAGCAGAACTGTACAGTAGTCTGGCAATATGGTACAACAATTATTTCCTAAAATGTATTTGCAGGTGCATGATGAGATCAAAGTATTAATTAGGGGCCCTTTTTATGACAGGATAAATAAGTTATTTGTTATAGGAATGATATTATATTGTTTTGATTGAATTGTTTTGATTGATTGAATTTGATTGAATTGTTTTGATTGAATATTGTTTTGATTGAATTGTTTTGATTGACCTTAATAGCAGGCCTTAGGATTGATTAATAGATAGATGATAGAGTATTGCCAGATATATCTTTGAAGAACCCAGCAATCTAATAAACTGATGGGAAATGGAGCCCAACAACAGCTGGAAGGGTTTAAAAACCTTCCTTCTCATAGATCTAATCCAGCCACCAAGAGATGTAAGGGAAGCGAATCAAATGTTGTGAAAGGAAGGAAATTTGTGTACTGAACTGTGTTTTCTCTCATTTTACTCTTTTCCCTTTAAGTGACTTGCAAGTACTGTAGAGATTTTCAGAGAGAAGCTGCTGTACTGGGTAATTAATCACTTTCCTACTTCTGCAAATTCAAGTACCAGAGTGATGAATAGTTGGTATGAGAGTCTACATTTCATTGTTTTTTGACGCAGAATCTAGCCTAGTGCGAAAGCTCTTTGCAGAAGCGAAAGTGATATAGCAAATGTTGTTCCTAATTCATACACAGCTTTCTAAGACTCTGTAACTAATTCAGCGAATATTAGCAGCAATTGAGGAATATTTTTTTTAGGTCAGAACATTTAAGATGGACTCAGCTTAAAAAGTGAGTCAGTATTGGTCCTATATACATATTTAGGGATCATTTTGAATGAAACTGATTTGACCTAAGATGTAGTTGCAGATGAAGTAATTGTAGTTTCAACATCAGACAAGGGGAATACAGGGCCTAATACTCACTCCATGCTGGATAAATACAACCAGAAAACCAGTGATGTTAGTTATGAATAAACAAATAATCCATCAAATAAAAATAATAGCAGAATAACTTGGTTAAATGACCAGGACAATAATTAGTCCATAGCGGCTTCTTTTAGTTAAGGAAATAAAGGAGCAAGAGGTCTTGAAGTCTATATCAATAGTCTTAGTAGAGTCACACAGTAAACTCAGTTGTAAAAGAATTTGAATCAAGTTAAACTGTATGTGTATATGCTTCACTGCTTCTTACTGATGATGGATGCTGAGCGCTTGCAACAGCTCTGATATTTGAGAAATTTTCTCTAAATCACTTACATGAAATCAGAATCAACTGCTTAGAATCCCAAAATTATAGCTGCAATCTTAAACATCCAAGGGAGCTAGCACCATTGAACTGAATGGTCTTATATCTAAGAGAGCCAGTGTGGTGTAGTGGTAAAGAGCGGTAGTCTTGTAATCTGGGGAACCGGGTTCGCATCTCCGCTCCTCCACATGCAGCTGCTGGGTGACCTTGGGCCAGTCACACTTCTTTGAAGTCTCTCAGCCCCACTCACCTCACAGAGTGTTTGTTGTGGGGGAGGAAGGGAAAGGAGAATGTTAGCCGCTTTGAGACTCCTTAAAGGGAGTGAAAGGCGGGATATCAAATCCAAACTCTTCTTCTTCTTCTTCTTCTTCTTCTAAGTAAACATCGCAGAGGATCGTTCATTGTCAAGAAAGACAAATCCTTGGAGATGATGAAGGTGGCTGGAACTGTGGCTTTGGCAAGAAAGGACAGCCAGCCTTCTGATCATGACTCCTTTCTAACCTGCCCTCTGTTCATGAGTCCATGAAGACCTCAGTGACTCAAACAGAATCTATTGTTTTCTAACCTTTCATCTCAGTTATACAGACTTAAGATGGATAGCTTTTTTTCTTCCTATGCTCCTAACTGTGATTAATTTATAGGCATTTAAAAACTGAAATGCCATCTCAAGAAAACCTGTATTTTCTCCCCTGCAGCTATGAAAGCAGACTCAAGGCTGTATTTCGGTTCAGAAATGAAATCAAACCATCTTTGGGAGGCTAATCACAGTTCTTCTGTGCCACATGTATATTTCAGCCCTAGTGGAAACAATAAATACAAAATAGCTGTAAGCTTAAATTCAAGAACATGGTTGAGCTACTCAGATAAAAGGAACAACCATTTGATAAAATATAGAACATTATTTGTTAGAGAAGTGTAGAGTGCCATCTATTGGCAGAAATGCTGGGCACAGCTGCCAGAAATAAGTTTCCAATTTCTAGATTCAGGTAGGTAGTCGTGTTGGTCTGACGCAGTCAAAATAAAAATAAAAAAAATAAAAAATTGCCCAGTAGGACCTTATAGACCACCTAAGTTTGTTCTTGTATAAGCTTTTGTGTGCATGCACATGTCATACATAGAGCCAAGAATTGCAAAGTTATTAGATACTAAAGCAAAAGCAGAAATGTCACTCTTTTGGATCCTAAATTTGTTCCTTGTGGGTTTTTTTTTTAAATGGACCAAACAGAGATAATGTTTTGAAATACATGTTTTAGTACCAGTTATTATTAAAATGAATTCACAGAGCTGGTTGCCTGCTAGGTATGCAAAAAAGCAAGCCTCTAACTACTTTTAGTTGAAATGAGTTTATTTTCTTTTGCTAAAATTATCAGAATTAGGGAGCAAGTGGCTACATATTGTATAAGCAAACTATTATGAAGTGCTCATATCTTGCTGGCTCGTGCGTTGTTCTTTGGTGCAAAGCAGAAGCAGATACTATAACCCTATTTGCTAAAGACTTGGAGAAATATGCGAATGAACATATTGGAAGTATAGGCAGTTTTACAGGGACAGCAAAGCACTTAGCTCTGAAGTACTTAGCTCTGAAGACAACGGAATGTCATCTTTGGGGTTTGCCTATATTAGAAGCCCTTTATTGAGGATAATTGCAACATTTGCACTGGTTGTCAAAAGTTAGCCCTGTTGGGCAAGGCATGCTGAAAGCCTTTTTGTGGGTGCACATATAATACTTTGTGGCATCTTGCAAATCAGCATGGGTCCCATCCTCCTTGTCAAGGCAAAAGGTGTCTGCTGTAGGTGCATCAGGTTGTGGTACATCAGGTTGTGGCACATCAGGTTGTGGCGCATCAGGTCTTGGAGGTTCAGCAGGAACTGGAGGTTTGGGGTTTGGTGCCAGGCCTGCCAGAAGAAGAATATAGATAGTTTAGCCTCATATATATATGAGGCTATATATAGCACCAGCCTGAAGATGACGAGTGAGACCTCGTCGAAACATCGCCTAGACACCCCAACTTTTACACGGGAAGACACCCGAGGACACCAAAACCTGCATTCCTGTACCCGTGAAAATCTACGAAAGCATATATATATATATACTGTATATATCTGGAGCTGGCGCTCATGAAAGGCTCCAACAATGCAGCTGCCTCTTCTGCCTCTTCCTCTGACTTCTTGTTTCTGGTACCACATGCAAGGCTTCTGTGCACATTGAATTTTAGGATGCTGTGGCAAATTTAAGCTTGTAGTGTGATTTAAGCTTGTAGTGTGATTGATTGCTCAATCAAGGAAAGGTGGTCTTCAGGTGTTCCAGATTAATGAAAGAAATTAAATGGTGCTGAAATCTAACTTGAAATTTAATGGGGATGGGGTGAAATTAGTCACACACAAAGAGAACCTTTCAATATCAGTAGAAAAGGAACCAGGGAAAGTGCTGTTTGGTGCAGAGAAGTGGTGTGTGGGAAAAGTTCATAAAACAGAAGGCATGGTGAAGAGTGGGAGATTCAGAAACGGTTAACTGGTTAAATGATGAGATTTCTTGCTTCCACAAGAAATGGCGCTGACCATATTAGATGGATTTCAAGGTAGGGATTAGATGAAATTATGGAAGCTAGGGCTGCTAGTCATGGGGAGAATATGCTGTCTCCAAGGTCAGAAGCAGCATCCCACAGTTTCTGGGGGTGGGGGATAGTAGGAGAGACCTAGTGCTTCACGTCCTGCTTGTGCGCTTCTCAGAAGCATGTGGTTGGCCACTGTGGGAAAGAGGATAGTGGAATAGGTAGACTTTTGGGCTGACCCAACTGGGCTCTTACATGCTTACACAGCCTTCATCGTTCATTCCCTGGTGTGTTGCATGAAGAGGAGGAGAAATGCACAGCCTAAGAGAGCTGTTTTAGGTTAAACGAGTTTATTTAAGCACAGCCAGAGGCCTAAAGGGAGACAAGAAACTCCCCTTTTCACAGAGACCTTTCT